AGCGAGTTACCAGATTAAATTTCTTTTTTCAACAGAGGTTAAACAGTACCTACTGAAGGTTGTTTCAAATGAGAAAACTATTCCATTCCTATCCTGAAGTTCTTTGCACATGTTTCTCGCTGCGAGCCTAAGAATCGATCGACCTCATACTGTACAGTCATACACGTGTAACGTTCTAGAATTCTCGTAGTTTATTAGCTCATACCGGCTATCGTAGTGAGAAATGTGGCACTGCTTTGCGAATTCGCATTTTCGTCTAACGGGTATGCGCGATTGTGCTATTTAGTGACTCATATTGTATTTGCACTTTAGTTGAACTTGGCTTATGTTTGTGATTAGAATTATTTGTATCATTCTTAGAATCTTCGTGATAATAACAGCTCTTTTATTATCTGTGTTAAATTACCCAAATTATACGTCTGCAATCGTTTTGTTGATAAAACCGATACATTCGTCTAACTCGGATGGACCGTTTATATTGTCCTTTATTGTACCTTATAAGCTACGGGATACAGTTACTTGTAATATAACTTTAGTTATGTACTTTAGTTAATGTTCGTGTAATGTTACTTTAGTTAAATCTATCTTTACATTTTGTAGCATAATGTGCTCAGTCACTAAGGAATTCGTGGATGACAATATCAGTGTAATTACTTTCACTGATTTTCACTCACAAGTATCAGGCGTCCTTAAAACTTTATCTCAAATGTATATCCCGAGTGGAAATTTATTCAGGCTCAGATCCGGCCCTGATAAAGTATGCCTTAAAACGGCATCCGGCCCAGATAAGGCCGATTCAGGAGGCCCTTATCCGGGGTGTAACGCTACTGCGAAGCAGGCCCTGATCAGGCTTCTGACCCGGGGCGGACTGCATCTCGGATTACAGCCGGAATACGATGTATCAGGGCCGAAGAGAACCCGGATGATAGTTTCTATATAAAAATGTTCATAATAAATCAAAAATATCATGAAATATCTCTCGGGATGTTTGAATATTATTTATTCAGTATTAAATAAGAACATGGTATACATATATAATACTACTTTTACTGTATTTTTTTATTGAATGTATACATACTTGATATCGGCTCAGTGACCCACTTTTGCTTGCGGGTATCCCTGTCCCTCTGGTGGCCGGTGGTTGTATTACATGTATATAGTTTCATATTAGGGCGATTTCAGTGTTGCCTGATTTCACACCTAATACGGCAGCTCTGAATAACGCCTGACTACGGCCAAGTCAGATTTTCCATAATAGGGCTTGCTATGAAATTGCCTGATGCGGGATATTTTTACCTGATCAAGCCCAAATTCAACTGGTGGAAGCAAGGCCTGATCCGGTGGAGCGTATTAATATTATGTCAGGACTTAACGAGGCTGACGTAAGGTAAGCCAGATCAGGCAAACGTACCGACATTAGTTTAGGTCCGGATAAGGCTAAGAGCAGGCGAGCCGGAACAGGCCAGCCCTCCCAAAACCTGACCCGGGCCTGACGGAAACTCAGGCAGCCTGAATAAATTTCCACTCGGGATGTGCCACTAGCGGACAATGATCTTTGCACGTTAATTTATTTAAGTCGGGTCAGCGAATCGGATAGCAGATTCTCTTCGATTTTCTTAATTTTTTTCCGAGTCAACGAAAATCGATTATCCGATTTACAATTATAGAATAGGATGTCGGTATAGCATGTAAACGAAGTCGGCGTAGAATACTGCACTCGTTTGACTCGTGTTTTATTTTGCGTCTGTTACGCAAATTTTACTTGAAAAAATAGTCTAGTAAAAAGCGCCAATCTTATCGGATTGCAGTCAAAGATTTGCGATCCAGACGCTCATGCAATTCATAGTGACTGGCAACGCACAAACATAAAGCACAGTAACCATAGTAATGTCAGTCGTCATTGACGAACCTTTTGTGCACAGATATTTATAGAAGGATGACTCACAGGAAGCAGTGAGCTAATAAATGCCAATAATCATCATAGTTTTCTGTGCAGCCGAGTTGTACCTCCTTTCCTGTCATTTATAATGGGACAAGAGAAATTCTGGAATTATCGTGCAGGAAAACCGGACTTTCCAAAAATATGCTCGATTAGAGGAATTTTTAACATGGCCGAAACAGATATAATTGTAATTTAACCTTATACATCGGGTGGGATATCTAATTTTATAAATTGCATTAGTAATTGTACTTTTAAAGGCTACTTCCGATGGTTTAATATGAATAATAATAAAATAAATTACGATTGATTCATGATTCCTGACGATGAAATGCTGCAGTAACCCTAGTATAAATTTAATGGAGGGACCGTAAGGGGGTTGTATATTTCGTATGTACTCAATTAAGGGATTGTAAAGGTGAAATTCAGGGCACTGTCGAGGGACGTGAAAATTCCTTTTTTACCATCTCGATTCCAAAGTACATTTGAAATATAATTTTTACGACCAAATACCTTTTTTTTTTCACAAATTATACAAAAATTTTATTATCGAATTAATAATGAATTTTTTGTCTACGTTGTAAAAACCTTTCAAACCTGTAAATAGTTTGTAGTCTTATCAATTTTTTTCATGTTTTGAACTATCCAATCTTCCATGAGCATCAGGCATATTATTTATTTCATGTTCATCTGTCATTTAAAAAAAATTTGGCACTACGCAAAAGAGCTCTTGTAGAGGTTCATTTAATATTCAAAATCGTTAGTTCATATGAGTTTTTGCAATATTATTTTTGATTGCCCACTGACGATGTTTTTTATTTGCATTCGAGCTCGAAAAATAAATTTTATTCGTTATAACTACTTGAAAAACAAACACACCTGTTTTTTTTTACTGAGATAACCTGTGACAAATAGACGATGTGTGCCTCGAGGCAACTTCAGGGCAATTGTGGCTTGGAAAGGCAGGATAAAAGGCGCAATATGTAAGGGACAGTTTTGAAAATGAGAGCATGATCTGTCTGTTGCTTGGGTCGAATTGCCAATCAGTTGTCGACCTGTCCATTGCTCTGACTTGCCAAAAGCGCCACTGTCCAGCCTATCCGCGCGCACATGTGCTACACAAAAATAATAGTAGTCATTGTTTTGTGACTTTTGACGAGATTCTAGTTTCGCATTTCACATTTCGTCTTTTGCACTAATCGATTACGTTAGAAAACATGATTTTCAAGAAAAGTTTGGGAAAGAGAAACTTCGACTATTTTTTTTTTGCAAATGAAACATCCGAAAATGTTGAAAAAGCATGATTCTACCCAATTGTGTCACAAATTGTTAGAGTTAGACTTTATAACGTTCTATTTTTTACGTATCTCATTACTTAGTTTCATGCCAGAAGAGAAGTTATTTCTTCTAGTTCATAGTAAACGAGTATCAATTCATGGAGTTGTTCAAATATTTGTAATATACCACGTGGTATTGCGTTCGGCTTGATAATTCAAATTGAAAACCTAATATAATTGATGATGCTCTTAACGGCCCTAAGTAGTCGTAAATTTTCAAAAGCACATTTTATATTTACCATCCGTACGAGACATTTGCGTACATATTGACCTTTAGAAGCATACATTTTACCTTAAATGCGATTTTTTTTTTTTAAATATAGCCTTCTAGAGCTTTTTGATGTCGGTGATTACGAATCTAAAGTTAATTTTTTTTAATTTCAAAATTTGGAATCCGCAATGGCGCAATTGGGCATTGCAAAGATGAACTGTAGTTACATCAACCCCCAAATACCGAGTGTCGTGTAAATAAATTGGTCTAACTTTTGGAATTTTTATCTGTCGTTTTTGATTTTCAGAATTTAAATCTTTTTTTACTCAGATTCGAATTCAGTGACCTAAAAACAAGCATAAGAGATTTCGAAACTGTAAGTTTTATTTTGGTTAACCCTCGACTCTCCCACTGGTTCTTCTTGCCGTAAGAAATGTATAACTATAATGTCTGTCAGATCATGCGCCACCACTAAAAGGATAAATTCTACAAAATACTTCACGTTGTCCTAAATGAGTATTTCAATTGCCATTTCGATATTAATAATAGATCAGTAAAAAAAAAAAATGTATTTTTGACTATCTGTTTATTAATGGGATTTTTCCAAACAACAATTAGTGATTATCCACCTTTTTTGCACTTGTTACTAGGAAGAAAAAGTTTGAAAACCGAGTAGAAAACTATCGATCAATGAAGATCCCATTAAGCTTCTAGAGGTTAAGGCACTCATTTATAAACATGTAAGGTGATCGACGTTATGACTTACCGAAGTACGATTAAATTTCAGTTATGAGACATCTGAGATTATTTTCGAGTTAATGTTGTGAGTGCATATCTACTGTCAATTTCGAACAGTGATAATCTTGATAATCTTCAAATCGAAATAATAAGTTCATGATTATTTGAAATACAGATACATGTATACTTGCGGAACTATTGTAAGACAATATTCCGCTATGATTCTACGAAGAAAATATTGAAATTCGATTCCTTAAAATGCGTCATTAAAAATGTATACTTCACAGGTGGCAATACTAAATTTAAATCGCACATCACTCCTTATCGTATTACTTTTCCAATACAATTACATTTTGCAATTCTTATCGGTACATATCGTTCTGTTAATCGCAATGTCAAGTGATCTTGTTATGAGACTTATCGTTCGCACGCCAGATAATCGTATTTGGTGCCAATTTTGTTTTTGACTTTAATCACCTCTACCGCAACTCCTGCCTCCAGCAACAAATTGAATTTTTATTCAACACGTGTTTATTATAATTAGACTTACGCATTCCGATGGCCAGATATTGTTCATTGCTCAATTTTGATACCTGGTTTACGGTAGCCTCTAGATAGAACGAGTTGTTGTCAGAGATATTTATATCGAGGATTTCTGTGCTTTGATCGAGAGATATATGTGTTTGAACGGCGTACGGGATGTACTCTTGAAGTTTCTGATAACAGTAGTTCTGGTAATATCTTATTGATAGATTCGATTATTTATTTGTTTCAGAAGACGTGGGCTATAGAAGTGTTGAGATAACACCTGCCTTTACGCATCTACCCCAGAAAGGTGAGAAATATTGGATACTTCATTTTTCCTTATATTTTGCATCTCCTACATAAGGAATATTTATGCCAGCATTGTTAATGTAATAAGTTAAGATATTCTTAATCATCGGTAAGCAGAGTATCTTATAGCCGAGTATTATACAATCAATTATTGGCAATTAAATACGTGATATTCAAGTTTCACTTGAAATCCAACTGAATTCGTCACGATTTGTTATAACAACAATAGAGTGTATTTTGACTTAAAAACACTTATGTTTGTTTATAAAAATTAAAGAGTTCCGATATTTTGCATTTCATGTTTCTGTTTCGTATCTTGTGTAATACATTTTTTTGTACCTGATACTAATTTGTTACATTATACGGGATAACGAGATTTCTTGTTCCAATAGGCCCCATATTCAAAGCTGTCGATTTATTTATAAACACATGTCAATCCTCAGTTTTTGAATTACACATTTTGTTATTTCATGGAAAATAATAATGCGCTTTTTTCTTGTACTTGTCTTGTAGTTTCCGAATGACATTTGCCGAGTTAATAAAGTCAATAAATTTGTCTTCAAGTCAATCAATATCAATGTACCTAAACGGTTTAAAAATTCAAAACTCATCCATAGTTTTGATCACAGCAATATTGCTAATCCAAAAAATCATTCGTTCAACTTTCTCACGTCTTACCATGGAGTTGATAACCTAATAATTTTGTAAGATATTTTCAAAAAATTTTGTTGATTTAAATGTCACCCAACTCGAAATGCCCAAGCTGCTTCTTCGTATATATACGACACGTTTTCGAATAATCAAGTAAAATAGTATAATTATACTTTTACTTATTAAATAAATAATTAAAAAGACAAGTAGCGAAATTCAAATAAACATTTGAGAAAGTTATATATGTCTATTCAAAATCAATTAATATTAAATAATAAATTGATATTAAATTCCAATTAGATGTACATTACATATAGAACTCACACATAACCCATTCATCTTCACACATTTACTAGTCGAGAAATATACATATGAAATAATAAAATTGACATAAGAATATTATATTAATTAAAGAGTAAGATACGTGTTACGCTGGTGATCCAATCTATGTGTCCTTTCATTCCATATTCCCATCATCAACCAAGTCGTCAAAATGGTACTATTATTTCGTCCTTCAAGTGGGCTTGGTATTATCGTGTCGTTTTGCCAATCATCCTTGATATACATATATACATATTTCCTTGGTTAGACGATATAGGGTATCCAAGATAGGATCGGATAAAATTGATAGATCTTCCTTCGATGATTTAGAATATTAATACTTGATCTGTGTTTCGTTTGAATCAACGCCACGTTTTACATTATTGCCTATCGATGTACTCTTTACGTCCAAACAAATCGACTATCTCTCCTCGACTAGTCCGGTACCGGACACGACAGTCGCCAGTAAGCCGATGCTCGTGTCTGATTGGCTATTATGGATAATACCTAGTGACACCAATTCTAATACAATATGACTACGAACGTAGGCAAATACGTACAATAGTTACAAATAGTTACAATAGTTAATCACTCGTATGAGAATTATTGTAATTTTCACTCATGAATCCTGCTTTTTTATGGCTCTCACTTACAAACTGACATACGGATGTCGTTGATTCAAATATTATTTTAGAACGATATCTTATCTCTCACATAAGCCGACGATAACAACCGATTCCTTTCAATTTCAAGGTTTTCCTGATCAATAAATTTTATAATGTAATGTAACTTTGTAATGTAAGCCTCTTCAAGTATTCTAAGAATTCCGAGTCTTTTTGAAGAACTCAACCTTGTGTGACGATTTCGACATATGCTCCTGTCATTAGAATGAATGCTTTTTTTGGCCATAAGTATTGCTTTATCATTTAACGCCCATGATAGTATATTCAAAGTATCCCATATGTAGTCGTCAATATAACGTTTTTTCCAGACAACTTTAAGCATTCGTAGAATAGAGTGTGGAATTTATTCTTGATCAAGAGCGTCCTTTCTCTTTGTTTTTTTGTTGCTTTTCTTCGAAAAAAAAAGATACGCGAAACCGTTATTAAAAAGTAGGGAAGTGTTTATCTCGTGAATGAAGATTGAAAGTGGGACTAGGTGGTACCAACGATAATAATCACACAACGATTACGTCACGTAGTACGATTGAGCCTTGTGGATACAATTTTTATGACACCTACTCATACTTCGAGCACGTGTTTTGCAATTTAAGTTTCGTACAATAACCAAAAACCACACCATTTGACGGAGATTTAAATCACAGCGAGAAACTAAGAAAAATAAGTGCCGTGATTCAGTGGTTCGAGACGTCCTTGTTATCGAAATTAGGTATAGGTTATAGAAATTCCACTCCGCCGTATTCATTCGATCAAAACACTGAAGAATTTACGAAAATTCTGATATTCAACTTTTCAAAATTTAACATTTATAATTCGAAAAAGTGTCTAAATTTATTAGCCTAGGAGAGTGCTCTCCACTGACAATGAGCCATCTTGAGATACGCCTACACGAAGGAACGTAATTCGGTATCGATTGTTATTTGTATAGAGATAAAAATAATTAGACTCCAGTAGATACCTGACCAGTACTCTAAATTTCCTGGTTTGCCTCCGAATACATTTGATGCGCATATCTTATTATTTTGCGTGATAGAATATTGTAATCATAGAACGTGCGAGACTACTTCTTATATCTACATATATACATATATTACCGTCAATTAAATACACAATTGTTGAAATTTTTAATGTAAATCCAGCTTAACGCAGAACTTTCGGGAATAAGTACCAATTTATGGTTGTCGACCATGCAGTCGGGATAAATTTGTATCCACGATAACACTGCCGACATTACATATCGCTTACTAATGAAGAACCACCCACGTGTATAACGTTAATTGCGAAAAATGTTATAATGTTGATAATTGAAGTAAATTCAATGTAATGACCGATAAAACACAATGAAAATAAATGAGATTCGAGACAAGAAACGTTTGAGTCATCTTGGTTTGTCCGCTGCCGGTCGACCATTCGATAAGAAGTCCCCTGTATAAGGAAAATTCGAGCTCAGTCATTTAATTTCTCGCGAGAATTTACGGGACTGTTAAATAACGAGAGCGTAAGTATGCGTATGTTATGTGTGCTTATTTAGATATATATATATATATATATATACCCGCCAGCCGCACGTAATGGTACACATCATTTAATTTCTCGCGAGAATTTACGGGACTGTTAAATAACGAGAGCGTAAGTATGCGTATGTTATGTGTGCTTATTTAGATATATATATATATATATATATACCCGCCAGCCGCACGTAATGGTACACATACAAATTCAAAGGTCTTGTAGACAAGACGTACAGCGCGCCCCCCACTTCGCGGGCAGCCCGTATTTACGAAGAATTATCAGGAGAGAGCGCTCGGTCGCTCAGTCGTTGTCTGTCTCTCGTCGTGTCGGTATCTCCTTCGTGTCGGTGGGATCGCAACCATTCTGACGTTCTCTGCGCATAAAGGAGTTATTACCGGGAGGAGTCACGAACACGAGTGTCCGTGTGTATCACAAACTCATTCTTCTCGACGCGGATAACCCGATCTAAATATAGTTGTGACTCTGCTGTGTTTCTCAAATCTGCCTCTCACGTGCTCGTGAAACACGGCACAAGATTTCGCGAAACCCGTTTTCGACGCGCGATCTTCTAAATAGGTGTCGCGATCGATCAGCATTACGGGCTGGTGCTATGCTGTTTGAAAGCCGACGATGGTATCGTCAAACGTGTTGATTTTTCGGCATCGGAACTGTGACTATTATTGAAGCCATTCGCGTAAGGATTTCGTAAAGACAATTGCGCAACGTTTGAACGATAAAACTTTTTGCATTGCTACGAGGGAATTAATGTAACGTGTGTGTATGTATATGTGGGTGTGTGTGTGTGTGTGTGTGTTTTCCATCGTCCATCGAAGAACATTGAAGAGCCCGTGATATTGGCATAGTTCCGGATCTCGTCTAAAAATAAATTTTAGTTTTTCAAATGGAAAAGTTTACGAAGAACCGGTGACATTCGTTAAGTGCACAAATGCTTTGAACAAACAGCGTTTTCGAAGAGTGATAAGTGCCGAGAACATATAGCTTATTGGAACGAGCTTTTGTGGAAGTGGTGTCTCGTGCAGGCATAGCGAGTGTTGCGACTCGTTAACACTGCAACGACTTATTCTTATCATTGTACAAGATTTTTTTTGAATTGAATTGTTTGTTGATCTCGTCTAACGTGAAAACATGAGACGCAGGCGCAGATAACCCTGGAGGAGTTTAAAAAACTACTACACAAATTTATGGCTTGTGTCGTAATAAGCGCTATATAAACATTTAAAAACCTGTGTTAAAAGACAAGTCATTGGTACAATTGAATTACGGGTAGGGAAGAAGTGTGGAGTCGAAATTGACTGAGTCCTTGAAAGAAGTGCCATGAAGGTGTCCGTCGACCACACAAGCGCCTTTAGTCCTTACCCGTCGAAGTCGACGCTTCTTGTACCATCGAGCTTATCGGACATGTGTATCGTGTGTGTAGACATGGCGAGGGATACACCAGGATCACCGATGTCACGGCCACGGGACTTGGTATCCGGTGGTGCGACGGCTACTCTCACATCGGGTGCCTATCATACCGCTCCGACGGATCCGACGGCGCTGCACGGGCATGCTCTCCAGCAGAAGATTCTAGAGGTAATGTAGAACCATTTCCCGGCAATACTGCAGAACACGATTTCTTCGTGAAGGACTACGTGTTAAAAAACAAACTGAACAATCCATGGCTAACTTCAAGGAGTCGTCGTATTTTGCAGTTTAGCCGATTTCCTTCTAACCTCTAGTATATGGGCTTCGCGCGACCCTGATTTAGCGACCCATCCAGAGGTGCACTTTGGCGTACACAGAAGTGAATGCTTCTGCATGCAATACGCATGCGCAATACGAATTTCCCATTTCTCGGACCACTTCGTTTAAGGAACGTCATCAAGTTCAAGGCCGCCACGTGTACGGCTACTTTATTGCTGATAAAAACCGGGAATCGATTTAAAGTTTGTTCGTGCTTGTTGTTTTTAAGGATTTCGTAGGAAGTAGTTCAGCCAGGAGGATTTGAGACTGTGTACGTTATTCGACACAGCAATGGTAGTCGAGCCTGTACAAATATTCCTACCGCCTCTTTCAGCTCGTACAATCGATCCGTCGTGCTTTGCTCGACACACATAATTTTTGCACGTTCGCCGTTAGTACCATTTCAGACACGAAATTAAAAAACACGAGCCGTTAATGCCACGTGGCAATCTGATTAAACAATATAAGCAGCATCGATCCACTTGTACTAATCTGATTAAGATGGTGGATACTCGTTTCTACTCACGTACCCGCTACTATCCGTCAATCTCATAGAGATAATCACACGTGAAATTTATGATATACGATCTGCTCGTTATTGAACTTCTTTGAATCTCCATGACGAAGATTCTTAGCGACATGAGAGTTTGTAGAGGTGCAACGGCACGTAGTAGTGTTGAAATTGGGTTTGAGGATTTTTTCGGTTGGAAACATTGTTTTTACGAAAGCGTTGTGGTGCCTCCTCGGTCGTTCATTTTGAACCCCAGGCAAATACAAGCCACAGGCGTGTCCTGCGTGAAATATCGTTAACGCTTAAAGAGTAGTTGGCGTGTGACGTGTTGGCGTTAATGCCACCCATTCCTCCTTTCATAACCCCTGACCTTAGTTACTTAGGTAAATGAGATATTTCACGCGAGCCATGCGGTCTTATCTTTTACGGACGACGGTCAGGTGGTTGAATTTATAAAAAGCTTGAGGGCGCCTCGCAATATTGTCGTTAGATATGATAAAATCTCTGAAGATACAACATTTGAAGGTCAGCCACATGCGATTAGGTCAGTTAGTTATCTACGCGGCTGATCGATCCTTTAGTATGAGAACTAGAAAAAAAATCTGCTTGTCGCTACTTATCAAATTGTATATCAGTGTTGCTCGCATTACGAAGATAATATTAGCGATTTTGTTTTTATTTTTTATTTTACAATCGCGCGTTCAAGTAGTAGATTTTGCAATGTCACTGATTTACACAGAAATGATAATGCTGATAACTAACCGTAAGTTAATTCGTTTTTCACGTCCACTCGGACTGCAGATGGAATTTTTGTCTCGTCATGGCTTTTGTCTATTTTTGAGCCAGCTGCATCTCGACTATTTTCCCACAGAACCGTTTGAAGACACAATCGTTGTCGTTGCGCCAAATCATTAAATATTTGTTCACGCGCGCACGACGTCACTTTCGTATTACGATGACACCGAGTTTAATGTCTTTCGTTAATCTTTTTGAATTGGTTCAGGTACGAAAATCGCGATAGGCTTGATTATGAGATACCACCCACGTCAGAGCCATTTAACGATCGGGCTCCAGCATGATAATAGGAGCTACTGCTCTACTAGTGTCAGTCGACTGCAATTACTGTGTTCGATTGTAGCCCTACTGCGGTATAGTTTAGGCCGCTGACACGTATATGTATATGCATCATGTATAGTATGTATGAGAATGTACGACGGGACGGACTAACCACTGCGATGTTACATAAAGAAAATATAGATGGTGTGCACCAAAAGGTGGCCAGAAGTGGGTCATGCAAATGCATCAAGATTCTGGAATACATTAGAACAAGTGCAAAGGCACAAAATAATATGTATACACGCACAGCTAAGCTAACACGCGACGCGAAAAGAAAGTTGGCGACACTTTGCTGTGGTATAGGATCTTGGAGGATCGAAAAGTTAGCGTAAACATTTGTGAAATTATATAACTACAGGAGTGTACGTCGCGGAGGAAAAGTTTGATAACGCGAACAAATTTTTTGATTGAATTCTTTTGCGAATGTGGACAAACTATTCGAAATACTCACGATGTATTGCTCTGATGTCGAGTTGTCTTGGAAAATTAATTTTGAGGTTAGGAAATTTAGTTTATCAGTAACAAACTTGGCATCCTTGCAATAGTGTGCAACGTGCATAACAATATTGTACTTGTGCTAATGAAAATCGTCAAGATAACTTCATTATAGCCTTACAAAATGGTTTTGTTTAATTCGTAACATGAACGGTATGTCAGGTTGAAATTTTCTGTTGCTCCAACAAAATTTTATTCTCGGTGAAAATACAAGGATACGAGCAAGAGAGGCGGATGGCGATTGCGTTTATTTAAATTAGCACATACGATCGGATCGAGGACAAGTGACATTGCGGAGTGGACGTTGCATATAACGGGAAGGGCTCAGTCGTTAACAAATTTATTGCAGACCAACGTTTGTCTAGAAAAATGTATGTGAACGATATCGTTGCTTGCTTTGACGACGCTTGGAGAGTATAGTTTTGCGCGTAAAATGAAGTACAGATTGTTCCGTTGCTTACAAGCGTTAACGCACACATGTACTTTATTTTATATTTTTCATCCGTTGATAATCTTGGACAGCTCGGTTGCCTAGAAATTATTAACGGAGTAGCAACATTAAAATATTGTTTAGTAAAGGTTAAAGGGTCCAGTTGCTTGCAGTGTCCCAGGTCCAAGCACAGCTTCATCGTGCTTGGGGGGCTCCCCCACCACTCGATAACGGCTAATGGCGAGGTGACATTAGACTGGTCACATAGAAAAACACTGGTACCCTCCCTTTTTTTATTTCTACGAATTCACACAAATATATGTTATCTTCGTGGGAGGGTTTCCTTAGAAGATCAGTAGCTCGAACAATTACCTTGTACGGATAACATTGAAAGTACAGCATTGATATTACACTACGATGAATTTCGTAAGAGAATTCTCGCGCAAAACGGATGTACAGAAATGGCATAGAGGAAATGGCAGTAAGAGGGGTGGGGGGGGGGATGAGGAAAAACTGTCGACGATGTCAGGACAATGCATCGTAGCGTTGCGGACGTATCCAATTGGCGAAGCCGTTTGAACGTGGCTGCCAGCAACCCACGCGCTTCCTTCGCCGTGAAACGTGCTTGTTCTATCTCTCGATATGTTTTACTTTATTTTCTTCTGTATTCCTCCTCTTCTCTTCTTTTCTCGTATTCCAAAGGCGAAGAGAGGCGTTTCTCGTTCGGTCAACAAAACCTATAATTTTCCTGGAGTGCTCGAACGTCACGTATATAAAATTGCGACTACCTACCAGCATAGGATGGGCGCAGTTATGATTGTGAGTCTGGACATTAGATTTCTACTCGTTATCGATATTTCAAATTTGAATTTCACTTTTGAAAATTCACTGTGCGGTGTCGACGGTTCTTCTCGAGCTATATGCAAGATAAAAAGACATGACAGAAACCGAATGTGTCGTTACCGATGACAGAATATAGTCGGAAGTTTTGTTTTCCTCATATGCTCCGACAACATACGTTCCGTTCGAAAATCGTGAAAGTCTACGAGTTGTAACAATAGTAAGACGCCCCGAATCGAAGAACATTACCCTTGAGGTATCTGGGTTTTGTTCCAGCTACAGCAGCATCATCAACTTCAACAGCAAATTCTCCGACAGCAGTATCAGGCGCAGGAGCGACAGCTCGCTGAGCTTCACGAGCAACAGATGCACCAATTAAAGGTGAGCGAAATTGCGCTAACTTCTCTTCGTATCATGGCCATTGACTATTTATTGCTTCTTGAACTAGCTACAGTTTGATAAAAAGTGCGTTGTAGTATGTTCGTTTCGTTGAACAATGACTTGGCTTTTCTTTCACTGGCACTGATAGTGGCGAAACAATTGATAGACTTTTGGCGTCGCGCTGGAATCGCGTGTTGATTTTTTATTGTGAAAACATTATGTAGTCTCTGTCGTCGATCGCGCGAAACCAGTCTATCGTAGTCGGGATCGTTGTTAAAATTCCAACGTGCACTTTAACGGAATACCCCCAGCGGCTCTGGTTGCCCTCTATGGGACCCCTTAATTTTTTTATTTACTCTCTAAAAATAGCCAACACTGTCCTCGCGCGTCCGCACGTCCATTCAACGCTCATATACATATATATCAAGCACCAAGTTGTCTATGGAATATTCCAATGTATGTGACTGCAACCGTGCCTGCCTGCCTGCCTGCCTGCACGCACGCTTACGCGTATACCTCAACTATCGCTACGTGAGGACCTCGCGAAGGACACGATTCCTCGATGCTTTTGGCATGCGCCCTCCCTCCCGATACTTGGCTCACGTTAGTGAATACGAGAGGCGCTTACCGATTCGCAAGAAATCATTTGCAATTCCGGGGGCGTCGGAGCCAGCCGGAAGTCGCGGGTATTGCGGTCAGGCATTAAGTTCGCTCGAATCCTTCGCGTTCTATTTATAGAATCAGCTATCTCGAACGGAGAAAAGTGTTCCCCTACTTCTGCAGTTATCGTTATGTACGTCCGATGAATCATTTTCGGCCTAATCGATAGAGCTCTGTGTTCAACTATTTTTACGTGGCAATGTCACGACGAACAAAGTCGTACTTGATCAAGTGCTGATGATAAAGTTGCGTGACACGAACGTCCTAGAAATATTTTTGCTTTTACGTTATGCGACGTAATCCTTACGTTATCGACGTTTCACGTTATACTGATTCCTGTTTTGGCTAATCGAAGGGCGCTTTACGTAACACCAGGGGGTGGTGGAGGCATTTATTTTTATGTCGCGTCTCACAAAGGTACCTGTGACGTATCGTTTCCGGTGGGTAGTACACAGGTGTTCGCGCGGGTGTCCTTCTTCGCGTTCGTTGATCATGCAACCAGATTCCGGGTTTCGCGTTTACTGAACTTTGGTACGCTGTGTCATGGCTGACGGCGTTGTAGGTGCTCTATTTTATTGACACTCGTAAAGTGACATCGTATAGCAGCCTTATCGCTACTAGGTAGTTTATGCCCGAGTTAACGTAACCGCGTATATGGTTTGACTGCTAAGAACAGTGAGCTATTAATAAACGTTGCTGGGTGTTAAACGGTTATTATTTTGGTTCGTGAGGTACCGATTGACGCACTCGTTAAACAAATATCGAAGCCCAGGTACAAAGTCATATACCTCTTTCAAGCTTGTACTCCCGTATACGTAAACTAACGAACGAGTAACCGCAGTCCGCATTCAATATTCTTTCCTTTGTTTTGGCCTCTCTCTCTCTCTCTCTCTCTCTCTCTCTCTCTCTCTCTCTCTCTCTTCGATATTATATTTTTGTTTTCGCGTTTTACATTCAACCAGCGAACTCAGCAGATTCGAACGCGCGTGTCGCAGAAGCAATATTTATTGGCGTCAAGGCCACTCGAAACGTCATTTTTCCCTGGATGGGACGGATAGGCGTGTTGATCTTTTTTAAATGGTGCATCCTCACGTATCAGAACGGACATTCACATTCGGATTTGTAACAGAATACATGGTGAGGAGGGGGGTGGGGGGGTGTCGTAGGGTTTAACGACGTGGATGGATTTTTGTCGTTTACGAGGTCCCCGAGAATCCGATTTAGTATACTATACGCAGCGGAAAAAGCTCTTGGTTAAACCGGCGAATAAACTTTCACCGTATTTATAGAAGCTCGAGGAGAGGAGGCCATTGACTCTGGCAGTAGTGCGCGCGAATTCTGATCGTGCGTTAACGACGCAACGCATGGGCCAGGGACTCGAATCGGACTAAATCCCTCATGAATTAAAGATAAGACTAGGCCCGTAATAGTATAGGAGACGCGTACACGCGCCAAACCCGAGACCGGGAATCGCTCTCGAGAAATCGAAACGGTGAAATTTACGTGGATTTGCATTGCAAATTCTTATCGGCTTTTGCTAAATTTGGTCGCGACTGGCAGATCGTCAATTCGCGCGTCTCGAATCGCGACACGCTCTAGTGTGTCATAATCGTGACACTTATATAAAGCTCAGCTTGTACGGCCGTGACTCTGCATGCGCGTTTTAACCACCCGGGTTAACTGACGTTGTTTAACCCCAGCGTCGCCACGTTGTCGGTTCACGTCGTCGGAAACAATACTGCGAGGCTTCGAGCTCCCTCGCCGAATCCTTCAGCTTCGTCCTAAAATTGGCACTTAATTGTCAGCCGTTTTTCACTGGCGAGCTAGCTAGTTTCTTGTAATTAGCGAAACGTTCGTTAATTCGTGTACTCGGAAGTGGTAAAACGTATTTTTCTGCCTCTTGTAATTATTTACGTTTCTGTTATATGCGCATTACTGATATATAGGTCCAGGGATACTGAGACGTAAAATAAAAATACAGGGAGAAAGAGATAATGAAATTGTAAGAGAGAGAGAGAGAGAAAGAGAGAGAGAGAGAGCCTCATGGAAAATTACCGGTTGAAATTTTGCACCAGCAAGCCTGACAGCTGTTCTGGCTCCGACAATCGAGTTTGAGCCAGTGACAGCTACTTGTATATAGTGTCCATTACGTCATACGTAACTAATTATTATTTTAATGAATACTTTGCTTTTTTCGAACAATGATACTATTGATTTCTGTTTACGCGAAAATTAATAGAATTTTGTGAAAGCAGACATCTCCTCGCTTTCTTCATCTTCGTAGACCGAATTCCTTTGATATATTATATAATAATATTCGCGAAAAATAATACCATGCAATAGTAACTTTATTCAATGGATTTGCAACGTTTACAGTGCAGTTTTTAATGTAGAAATTTCTTAGCAGGCTTCTTAAATTGTTAATCAATTTCAATTGTCCCTATGGGATGCTTGCGATTTACGCGTGCTACTAACACTCTGTCCTCCTTACTGAACAGAATATTTGAGTTTTTTATGCCAGGCCGATTCCGTAACTGTACAGCATCCTTGAGCCCACGGGTTCACGTGCAACTCTGTGCAAGGCTATTCGGCACAAAAGCACCAACCAAAGTTGCTTTCATCATAGTAATCAAACGGACAGGCTAACTCTAGGTGGTGCGTTTAACCGGAATGACCCTGTACAAAAACTGCACTGTCCTTCCGCCGTCAAATTTTATAGCAATTCCAAGTAGTCCATTTGCCGATCTCGAGTAACGCGTACAATGCAATTCCCGGATCTGTCCGTAGTTTAAGAGATACCCTTGCAAGCGCAGTACTGCGCGAAGAGCATGAAATTATAGAAATGCTCTTAAGATCGAAGGAATGTATATCTCAAATGGCTATCACAACGTGGCCATGTTCGTCATGGCGGAATTCTAACCTGACTAATTCCTTCCTTTCATTTCATTTTTTTTTTTTTTTTGAACGTGACATCGAATGCTCGTAACATGTAATTCGACATTACCATGCTCTTATCGATTGGTATTTATGTGCGTTTCAACGCGAATATCGTATAACGACTTAAGACCGATTAGCACTCGTGGTGCGCGTATTGCTTGTGCTACTATAGATATCGTCTTAAGCCAGTGATACGGCTGCAGTAGATAAGTAGCGAAGCAGCCGCTGTGAATGACCTAAGAAAGTTTACGATTGATATATCGCGTATTCGCAATTGACCGATGAATGTACGTTGCAGCTGTGGGAGCAGCAGAAGCAGTTGGAGGAGCAGAGAAGGGAGAAAGAGCGACTGGAAGCACTCAGGAAAAAAGACAAGCACGATCACAGCGCCATCGCTTCGACGGAGGTGAAACAGCGTCTTCAGGTACGAGCGGATAACGTATTTTTGTTTTCTCGCCTAAAAACCCGAATCACAGTTCTTCAAAATACTTCTTCACGTTCTCTTTGTTGCGTATCGTTGCAGAGCTTCCTAGTGAACAAAAAGCAAAGGGAAGCTGCAGCGGCAGCCAACGGAGCCGTTTCCGGAACACCAGGCTATAGAAGTTGGTAAGTTTGCGAATTTCACGATGCATCACAGTGGCCCTAATAACCGTCAGAACATTTGTTTCACGCTACACTTTACTTTCCACGATGATAAACCCACGAACTTTATTGTTTTTCTTCCGCGAGGGGCCAGCTCCCTTGACCACCCCCCCTCCCCCCCCCCCCCCCGCCCCCCCCCCCCCCCCCCCCCCCCCCCCCCCCCCCCCCCCCCCCCCCCCCCCCCCCCCCCCCCCCCCCCCCCCCCCCCCCCCCCCCCCCCCCCCCCCCCCCCCCCCCCCCCCCCCCCCCCCCCCCCCCCCCCCCCCCCCCCCCCCCCCCCCCCCCCCCCCCCCCCCCCCCCCCCCCCCCCCCCCCCCCCCCCCCCCCCCCCCCCCCCCCCCCCCCCCCCCCCCCCCCCCCCCCCCCCCCCCCCCCCCCCCCCCCCCCCCCCCCCCCCCCCCCCCCCCCCCCCCCCCCCCCCCCCCCCCCCCCCCCCCCCCCCCCCCCCCCCCCCCCCCCCCCCCCCCCCCCCCCCCCCCCCCCCCCCCCCCCCCCCCCCCCCCCCCCCCCCCCCCCCCCCCCCCCCCCCCCCCCCCCCCCCCCCCCCCCCCCCCCCCCCCCCCCCCCCCCCCCCCCCCCCCCCCCCCCCCCCCCCCCCCCCCCCCCCCCCCCCCCCCCCCCCCCCCCCCCCCCCCCCCCCCCCCCCCCCCCCCCCCCCCCCCCCCCCCCCCCCCCCCCCCCCCCCCCCCCCCCCCCCCCCCCCCCCCCCCCCCCCCCCCCCCCCCCCCCTATTATTCGGCCGCCCGGTATTTCCCTGGGGGCCTACGTGTCCGTCAACACGTCGACAGGGCATCGTCTTCCCTCTTGTCGTTGGTGCAGGTGTGTCGTAACGTATTCTCAGAGACTCTCAAATCTTCCATTAGCTCACTGGAAGCGTTTCGGTTTTTTGCGCTAAGAACTATTGACCCGTGGACCCTAATTCGGGTAGACAAATTTAAATTCGACGTGGTACAAGTATTATTTACATTCTGTTCTCGCCGAGTGATTGGTTCATTGTTATATCGGCGAGGAATGAAAATACAAAATACGAGAGTCCGAGCACAAAGTTTGACTGAACAATTGATTCGTCCGTATAACTAGGTATTTACGAGCGGAACGTAAATGGGTCAAGATCGTTTTTCACTTGAAAGACCAAAAAAATACAAGAAATGCCATCTGCCAGGGAGGTACTCGAGTACCATGTCTGTATTTGTCGCGTGGAAATTTCCATTTGCCTTCGCGCAATGCTTTCGTAACCTATAAAATTCATCGTCCGAAAAGTATCTTTCTCGTCTCACGTTATTTGAGAATATTTGCCATTTGCTCTCGACATCTTTTCTTATTTTGACTGTGATCGATTAATGTCTCTTGTGTCGAGGTCTGTTAATTTGGCCCAGTTGAGAGACATTTGAATATTCTCTACGCTCACAGAATTAAGAAATTTACCGATCCACATCGATCATATAATCGTCTTGACGTCAGTCATGCACCACTAATTGACTGTATTAAAATCATTATCCACAAAGCTCACACGAAACAAACACCCGTTGTATTAGGCTTTCCCAACGATTACGGTCGATGTAAAATTAACAGGCATTCAATCGTAGGCCTTGTAAGAATTCGTTTTACTTAAGTGGAAAAGAAACAGTGCACCAAGCCACTTGAGCAGTAAACGAAATTAATTGATAAACCACTATATTCGTGCGAAATCCGTTAAATCGATGTTAGCCATTTTAATAGGCCGCTGCAAGTCGCAACGATAATAGTACAACCTGGCCCAGTTATCCATTTAGCTTTGGCGAGTTCACGTCCGGCGTTGGGGGAGCCGCTGGGACATCACTTCCCCCTCTTAGTTTGTCCCCGCAATAACTTCATCATCTCTACTGTAAGCATGCCGCACGAGAGGTCCATTAGGGTGCCACATGTGCCTTCTCCGTTACTTGACGTACATATCTATACACATAGGCAAACCGCGTGCGGCACTGTGCGCACACGGGTAGTGTTAGAATTCCGAGGAGGATGGTCGAGAGCTGACCATAAGATCCACGATGAAGCACTCAGGATTTGGGTATTGGCCTGAAACGATAGTTGTCGCTGTGGCGCCGGTGCTCGAATCATTGCATTAACAAGTCATTGTCCAATGGATTGAAATCCTTTAGTAAACATTAGATACGCTGGTATCGATATTAGCAATCGTTAGAAAAAGCACGTAATCTATTTTCGAGAAACTCGTGTCGGGCACTCTGCCAGCCATCACATTTCTCTCAGACTCCTACTAATTTGTAGACCCCCCCCCCATCCCCCAATACGTCCGTGTAGAAAGCTTCGCCAAGTGCAGGATTGCTGGTGAATTCACCTCCTTAAAAAAGATACTATTGTTATGATTCGGTATACAGACAATTTTGAAATCATATATCTACGCCAAGTTCGTATCATATGTCCAAGTTACTATATATATCTATTTGTTATATCATCTGGCACTAGCTCGTTATTTCAATTGTCATTGTGGAATTTTCTGTAATATCTTCACAATTCGTTTTATTTTATTACTGACGTTTACGTTTAAGTAAGATTTAATTGTCTTATAACAATTTATACCAAAACTTTGAGTGATTCCTCATCGAGTACCGCTTGGCGGGTCCGTGCTTTATCTAATTTTATTGCAAACGAATAGAATGGGGATATGTTTATTGTCAGGGTTAACAATGGATATTCTCAATTTGTCATAATGTAAATACGCTGGTAGACAGTACGTTTATTTTTAATAAAATTCTTAGATATATTTGTACACACGGTAAAACTTTCCGATAACCCAGGTTTCTCCTTCCGTAAAATTTCACATCCTCCACCGCCTGTTACCTGTAGGCGGCACGGATCAACCGAGTCTCTTGATAACGTAATAGTCTATCTCCATTTTCTTTATATTATCCTTCGTTCTATCCCCACCATCTGTAACCTCACTTGCTCAATATCCGCGCACGCGCAATCTGATGAATTGGAGAGTTAGGATATTGTGTAAGGTGATTGGTTCTATGTGTAGCGTTATTGAAAAGTTTTATCATGTCTTCAAAATTTCATTCACACACGGTAAACGCAGTTCTATATTTCTCATATGCAAATAGGTATAACGAAATATAAGTGCGCTTGCAATATTAGCAATGAACTGAGGAACATAATCACGGCAGAATCCTAGTAACAGAAGAGCAATTTTGTAATATCATTAGTCTGCTGAACACAAGTATTGGGAAATTTTTGCAACGGACTCGCCAAATAGTACTCGACAAGGAATCACTGAACTGAACTATAAACATATGTAAGCGGTAGTAATAACACAAAAGAGTCGTTAAGGCATTACAGGAGATTCCACAATGAAAATTAAAATAATGAGTTAGTGCCAGATGATATAACAAGAGCTGAAGATTTTACGATTGATGTCTCACATCTTTGGATGCCTCGCAGAATATTCTAGATCAATGAAGACATAATGGATCCTCTTACGTGTCATCTTCCTTTTTTCCATTATTATACTTTATGCTTTCTTCTGGACGTTGATCTATATTTATTTCGAAAGTCTACTGTTGAGTCTTGTAAAGAAAAAAAGTAAATATAATATTGCAGAATGCTTGTTATACATATTTGTAGCTGGAAAAGATAAGTTAAAAGTAAACATTTAGGAGTTATGAAAAATTGATGAATAGTTCAATTTTCTTTGGAGAAAAACTAAAATAGCTGGTCCATTATTACTAATTAGCCTATTTTACTTCCCTGGTTTAATCATAGACTTAGTCTTAAGGAGTAATTTCAAATATCTTCAAAGAAGGCTTGTCTCTTTAAAGAATGTGAAACGCCACGTTTTCGTTTGAAATATCTTCAAAGAATTGTCTCTTTTGAATGCTACTTTCTTATTTTTGTATCTTATTGCCTTCTTTCTATATGGATCAGTACTAGTATATAGAGTTGAATGTCACCTGAAAAATTAATACAATGAGTCGGTTATACATGATACCTGACAAACAATATTATTTTAAAAAATTACTTTATACTGGGAATTCCATGGAACCATATATATGTATATATGCGGTAATATAACAATGAAATTGAAGTCAGGAAATGAAGTCAAATGATACTGCCTATAATTCATGAGACAATGTGTGCACATAGAAGCAATATGATACTTATTAAAGAAAATATAAAAACAATAAATAGAAAACTTACCAATTCATTGAAGAACGTCTTTGGAGTGCACTAAGTATCGCATTGAGCCATTCAACACATACGACAGTCACTTTGTCACACTCAGTTTATATTCGATGACTATCAAGAAACTCTTAGGCTATACGCAAAGGAAAATGTAATATTCAGTAAGGAATTCCATTAGAGACTCGATCAGGGGTTCCAATCATTTGACAATCTAAACAGCAATTCTAACCAAACACAGTAATACATGGCTCTTGTAGTAGTTTCAATATATTATAAGTCTGGCCTTATAACAGCGCATATCATTTACATATAAAACTATTTCTTCTTTGTCAACCTAACTTCTCTCGTTGACAATATCATTATATGACGAATTGTACCTCTTACGAATATACATTAAACGCTTATGAGTGTCTAATAAGAAATATATTCGATTGTTTGCAGGCTTCAACCTCAGTCGGAATCCACGAACACGACGAATGCTTCTCATCCCTATCGAATGCCACAGATGTTACAGGAGAAATTTGGGGATGATTTTCCGCTGAGAAAAACAGGTAGATATCACATGGAAAAGCTTGTTCCTACGAGTAGTCTGTGTGTTAGTAGTATGCCTACTAAAGCATGGATTTGCATCGCCATAGCTTATCGGCAGACGATTATCGTACGACTCTTTAAATTTCGCACTGGCGCAAATTTCACACGCAAGGATAATTTTTCTCGTGTATACGAAGGACACTCATCCTTTTCATGTTGCTAACAATAAGTACTGGCGATGCGTGCGACTGTGCACAGGTTTCATTTTAAACGTTCTCGCCAAGTTTTCGTTTCAATTTTTTTCTCTTTTTTCTTTTTCTTTTCTTTGTTCCTTTGTCGTATCCGTTCGTTTGCTCGACCGTTGAGTGTGCTTGCGACTTTTCGTAGCTTTATGTCTGAACGCCGCGTGCCCATAGCACGTCGTCGTCGGCGTCGCCGCCGCCATCGCCGCCGCCGCCACCGCATCCAAAACACGATAGCGGCAATATTTTTTAACTATTAAGGCTGCTCCGCGAATTTCGAGCATTGCCAGTTTACCAAAGTCGAGACGTATGCGTGATGTGCGTGCGGGGTGCGTGCGGTGCGATAGTCTAGTACGATGTTACGGTATGATGACTAACCCTGGCTGATTGGCCCGGCGCCTCGGCAGCCTCGGAGCCAAACTTGCTGAAGGTGCGCCTTAAGCAGCGTGTCATGGAGAGGAACAGCGCGGCAACCCGAAACTCACCCCTCATGGCTCGCCGGAAGGATCGACTCCTGTCGCACCTCAAGCGGAAGTCACTCTTAGCAAGTACGTCCTATACCTATGCTTACCCCGCTACTATATCAGGAAAAAGATTAACCCTTTTAGCCCCAAGGTTAACACTGGAGAATTTATTTGAATCGAAGTACTGTAGAAGCAATTTAAAATACGTGAAAAATGAAGCTAAGAAACAGGTGAAGTAGTTATTGAGATAAGGGAGTATTACACGATAGTTCTTCAATGTTATTTTGGGGCTTTAAGGATTGTATTAAGTTTTCGATTATTCGATCATTATTGGATCATACTGAATCGAGCATTACACGAGAGGAGGCTCGCCTCTCTGAGCAGAAATACGTGTGCCAGTATTCGAGCGACTTATTTTTCTTTGGATTATCCATTTTAACTACATTTTTTTTTATCAGATAACCATAGTCGATTATGTGTCATCTCACATTTATGGTACATCACCGAACGGTACAGAGAATATATAAATAGTCATTTACTTACTTTCAGAAATAATTCTTTTATCTCGAGTAATGTCATCGAATGCATTAACGTTTATCCAATTGGTCTGGCACGTGTAGTTGGCAGGTGCAATTGCAAAAACATTATCTAGGCATATTACTGTAGAAGGAAAGAGCACATATGAATGAGTGAAAAATAATTGCACCTGATGACGCTCTCTGGAGGGCACACGAGTATTCTGGACTTTGGAGTAAAATGAACGATTATTATATGAGTCGACGATAGTTACCGGGATAGCTATATATATATATATATATATATATATATATATGTATATGTATAGCCAGCCAATAGCTCATAACTGACTGTTTCATATTGTTGCATTTGTTTTCCATTAATTGGATGTTGACTTGACTTTGCTAGTGTCTGGTAACCGCATGATAAATTAACATACATCATACATTTGTAGTTTATTAGTTTTCCAAATTGTATCAGCCGACAGGTAATAGTCGAGTCGGGTCGTGTGTCTACGTGCCTAGAGTCAATGAGATTAGGAGAGGTGATAATTATTATCGAAAATCATTTGTTATCAAAGTACACGTGTGTAAATGAGCAAACTCTCCGCAGCTCCATTCAAGAAAAAAATGACTAAAAATATTGTTTTTTATTTTCTATTCAAATTTACAAAATGACCAGATCGAAATAAATTGACGTGAAAGTCAAGTTTTATATTGATCTTGTTTACATCGCACAATGTTTGTAGATTCTGGCAGCAATTCTGAATCCGGGCCTAACTCGCCTCCAACGGTGAACAATTCTCAAGCGAGTCCCACCGCTGGAAGCAACACGCCTATCCAAGAGGTAAGTAAGTGCAGTAAACAAAGAGAGCGAACGAGAGCTGATAAAAAACGAAATGAACGAGGCTCGTTAAGATAAACTATTGTAACTATGGACTAAATCACCTGCTGCTTTCACTAACGTAATTGCTTTGGACTAGAGTTTTCGAACGTCGACTATTTCGGCAAACTTTTGGTCCGAATCTTCGCTCTCAATACACGTGATTCAGTTGGGCTCTCTGAGGATGCTGCGTGAGATTAAATTCTCGCAGCAGCTGATCTCCGCGTTTTAGATTTGGAAAAATTATAATTGATAAATTTTAAATTGCTCAAACACAATGGTTGTATGATGATGTTGCTGCAGGAGGGCGAGAACGCGCCCTATGGAGGAGCCCTGACGAGCAGCAGTCAACAAGGCAGCCTCTCCGATCTGTCCCTCTTCAGTTCACCGTCCATGCCCAACATTTCCTTGGGCAGACCTCATGTTCCATCCAGCTCGACGGCAAGTCATCGCATTGATAGTTAATTTTTAGAAAATTTTCGTGACGTCTCATTGTATTATCGTTCAAATTTCTTTACAGAGTGGCACAAAATTGGCACCCGTGTCGGAGGCAGAAGTTCGGGCTGCGTTTACCGCTCGCCTGGGTATGCCGCTAACTGGACAAATGCTGCCAGGCACTCTGCCATTTTATCCATCCCTCACTGTGATCGAAGGTGAACCAACTTATATACACAAACAGATGCAAAACCTGGAACAACCGAGTAGGCAGCATCCATTGTATCATGGGCCGGCGCCTATTACAGATGCTCAAGTAGCACACGCAAGACTGCATAAGGCTGGTCACCGGCCTTTAGGTAGTATGTTTTCTCTTTGTTGGTAATACTCCGGCTCGGTGGAACGTCCGTCTCGGAAGGCATTATCCTCCTTCATGTCGTCACAGGAACCTGAAGGCGGCACTTCCGAGACGTGCGCTGCGTCCGTTCAACAAATCAATTTTTTCCGATGAGATTTTAGTGACAATAGTCCCTTCCGGTCTCGCAGGTAGAACACAATCCGCCCCTCTGCCACTGGGTCATCCAATGCTCCAAGGTGGCATGATCGCCCCACCAACGCACTACGAGGAATACCTCGCTGAAAAACAACTCCATGACCAACAACAAGCCCACAATTACCTGAAACAGCAAATTCGACAGACGGTGCTGACTCGCGTAGGAACACGTGGACAGGCCACCAGTCAGTTGGACGAGGCACCAGAGAGTGAGGAGTCTGAGGTGATAGATCTTACGGGCAAGAAGGAACTCCTCGAGGAGAGTGAGATCTCGAAGCAACAGAGAGACCGGGAACAATTCCTGCAACAGCAGCGAGATCTGATGATGCGACATACTCTTCAAGTTAACGAATCTCCGGCTTATGCGAGTAATCGTAGCTCTCACTCCGCAAGGCCGCTCTCCAGGGCACTCTCGAGTCCTTTGGTGCATTTAGGTATGTTCACTGGGTCAACACTTTTAATTCATTAATTTACGCATAGCGTTTCTTTCAATTTTCGTGCGATAATTCGAATTCGCATTGTTTGAAGGACCTCAGGGTGCTGGCGGTGGGGACGTGTTTGCCCGAGGATCACCTCATCGACCGACTACCGGACTGGCCTACGATCCTTTGATGCTGAAGCATGCCTGCGTATGCGGCGAGACTGTACGAGGTCACCCTGAGCACGGTGGCAGGCTGCAAAGCGTGTGGGCGAGGCTTTCGGAAACTGGCTTGCTTCAGCGATGTGATCGAGTGCGATCTCGTAAGGCCACCCTGGAAGAGATACAGACATGTCACAGCGAAGCCCACGCTCTACTCTTCGGTAAGGCTACCGTCTCATTGCCTTTATGTTATTTTTGCTTGAACAACCGTATGGAACTTCTTTTAACTTCATTAAATTTTCATTGGTTTGCAGGTACAAATCCTTTGAATCGGCAAAAGCTCGACATGTCAAAGCTCTCTCAATTACCTATAAAAAGTTTCGTTCGATTGCCATGTGGAGGCGTAGGCGTAGATTCAGATACAACCTGGAATGAACTCCACACTGCACCCGCTGCTAGAATGGCCGTTGGTTGTGTTGTGGATTTGGCTTTTAAAACTGCTATGGGAGACATTAAGAATGGTTTTGCCGTTGTGAGGCCTCCTGGTCATCATGCCGAAACCAATCAAGCCATGGGCTTTTGTTTCTTTAACTCCGTGGCCATAGCCGCAAAGTTACTTCAGCAGAAGCTTGACACGAGAAAGATAATGATTTTGGACTGGGTAAGAATTAATTATATGTGTTCTTTAGTAGTTGAGTCAGATAGATGCTGGATCTTATATTTGATCTATTTTTTATCATATCTCTAGGACGTGCACCATGGTAATGGGACACAGCAGATGTTCTACGACGATCCACGAGTTCTTTACCTGTCAATACATCGACACGATGACGGTAACTTTTTCCCAGGAACCGGTGGACCCACCGAGTGCGGTGCTGGGGAGGGATTAGGATACAACGTGAACGTAGCTTGGTCCGGTGGTCTCAATCCGCCAATGGGAGATGCTGAGTATCTTGCAGCATTTCGCACAATCGTCATGCCCATTGCCAAAGAATTCAATCCAGATATTGTTATCGTGTCTGCCGGATTTGATGCTGCTATTGGTCACCCCGCACCTCTAGGTGGCTATAAAGTAAGCCCAGCCTGCTTCGGCCGTATGACGCAGGAATTACTCACACTTGCTGATGGCAAGGTCATTCTGGCTCTGGAGGGAGGGTACGATCTCGCTGCTATCTGCGATTCCGCTCAGGAATGTGTTAGGGCTCTCTTAGGTGATGAGCCTACTCCACTTAGAGAGGAAGAACTCACGAGGGCTTCTTGCCAAAATGCCATCGACACTTTACAAAAGACCATTGCCATTCAGGTAGGCAGAATCTTTACTGTATATTCAGCTATTCGCCTTCGAACCGTCAAAAGATACTACGATTTTTAAATGGACAATCGTTTGTAATTTGTTTCTTTGTTTTATTTCAATGTCAGATGTCGCACTGGCCTTGCGTTAAATTGGCCGCGCACACAGTGGGTATGAGCGTGATAGAAGCCAGTCAAAAGGAACATGATGAAACTGAAACCGTATCGGCGATGGCTTCTCTATCCATGCAACAGCCCACAAACCTCACGTGAGTGTTTTACATTTTCCCACTAGAATGACGCGTTATAATTAGTGATAATACCTAGTAATCCTTAATAACACTTTCTTCTTTGGCATTGCACAGGACCACACCTGAACATTCCCGTGAAGTTTCCGAAGAGCCGATGGAGCAAGATGAAGCGAAGTGAAGTAATTGAATGACAATAAGTCGTTGGTAATCTTACTTCTGCGAACCTAATCACTGGGGAAGGCGCAAGCCCCTAACGCTAGAGAAAGAGGGAGAGAGAGAGGGAGTCATGATGGCGTTGCGGCACTTTCAAGAACCAGAGGTTCGTGGTCAGTCACGTCGGACACAGAATTTACGTGGCCAGATAGCGTCGGCACGGAGTGCGCTAATGATCGGTCGTCGAATAAATGATAGGGCTTCTGAATGGCCTCTATGACTCGACGTTCGGTCTAATCCGCTGAGAGAAGACAAAAATATCGACAAGAAGCATTTCTGTTGGCGATATAGAATGAAACAAAATGTTGACCATTTATATGGCTAAAGGTACTACTAGCTATAAGCGTGGCCATTCTACGCGAATGCGCGGACGATGAAGAAACTCGCCTGGTATACGTGTTTTAACGTTGATAAGGTATTGAACAATTTTCTGATTAAAAGGACATTTTTTGGAACGTGGGTGTCAACTCACGGCCTGTCCGTATGTATCTCGGTATTTTAGCGTTATCTACTCATTCGTCGAGTGATGAGGAGGAGGATCCGAGGTTTTGGCCATATAATATTCGCCGAGTCTTCAGCGACGTTTCCGATTAAAGAATTTTTTTCAAATGAGTGTCTTGTTAACGGACAACGAACGTGTTTCTAAACGTGACCTGAACTAGAAGTATGTACTTTGTGCGTTGGGATATCGAGAGCGTTATAAGCGTTCGAGCCGTAATAAATATATTTGTCACATCGTGTGTGATTCTGAGTGAAAAAAATGTGCCCATAAATGAGTAGATGTGTGAACGCATATGTAAATTTTCAATCAGAATGCACATGCGATAAGTGGAATCGAAGGAATACATTATAAACGAATTCATAAAAGACAATAGCGTTAGACTTTTTTTGTTCGAGCTTTCTATCAGGCGTAAAGGGATGTTAGGCGCGATGTGCTGGTCGCTGGCGCTTTGTTTTCTTCTTCAACTATCCTCTCATACTTTATTTTCGTGTTCGATGCGAACATTGTGAATGAGCTGTTCCCACGCAGCAGGAATTCCCACGTGTCATTTATCTCTCTCGGTCATAGATGCGGATAGGTATGTGTGGTGTTCAAGGCGTTGGAGGATATAAGAAAATGATTAAAAAAAAAAAAAAAAGAAAACGTTCGTTTAACGTGTAAGTTGGTGTTTAGAGTTTTAGGAAGAAGGATGCTTCATATTCGACAGACCGGAATCCGGTCGTTAAATTTAAATGAGCTAAACGGAGAAAGCAAGTTTGTCTTTTTACGTATGATTTTCTCAAGTGATTTGGGTTTTCTGCTGCGAACAAAGGCTGGTGCGATTTTTGTGATATTTTGTAAAAAGGTAATTAAACTTTAAAGTTAATCGAGAGTATATGTAGTGGAAGGAGAAGGGGGAGAGAAAAAATATTAAAATACAAGCATTTATTTTTGTGTCGTGCATTTTATGAAAATACAGATGATATATGAAATTTATTATTAAAACAATATAAAAATGCTGTATTTATATAGATATATTAATGAAGGCGTATAACCGTATAGACGCAGGTATATCTATATATGTATAGATTTTGGCAATGAGTGGATGCATATATATGTATATATGCATAAATGTGCATAACAATATACAGTACAGTCCCGCGAAGTGATGCATCAAAATATTTTACCATGTTATTAATACAGCGTGGTTACTTTATAAAAGTACTATCTAACATTGTGCAATCGGTCTGTACTCTATTTTTCAAGTAGGACCCTTCATTTTTCTATTTTCTATTTTGTGGACATCGCGATAACAGTCCAATGTACAATACAGTAGCATAAAATTATTTTCAGACAATTCTGTGGTATATTGTCTAGTACTATTTATTGAATGGTATACGCTAATATTTAAAGCTTTTTTTTTTTACTTCACAGTGTTACAGATTTACTAAACATAATACCTTTAAGGTACAATTTTGAACGTTTGGGCTAAAACAACTGTTATACATCATTGTGTATTATTAAACATTTAATAAATTTGATTAGCCATGGCAATTGTAATAGCATTTCTATTCATGAAACTTTACAAAAAAAAATCCATAAATGTATCACTAACAGTTTTCCTTCTCTTTTCTTCTATTTGAATATCATTTTATTTAGAGTCAGGACGACTTTTACTTACTATAATATCCAGTGAAATGATTGATGAATCACTTGGCCAAACTTATCTGGTTTATTGTACAAGAGTATATTGTATGATGTAGATAGTGTTCTATCGCAAGAATCTCAAAGTGTCTGTTAAATGTTGCCCAAAAAAATGAATCGAAAGAAAAAAAAATATATATATAAGGTTATTCAGGACTAACGCACTTCCTCAAATTAATTTGTCCATTTAATTCTCATGGTAAAACCACTTTTAACCAGTGCCTTAGTCCTAAATAATCCTATTTAAAATATTTAAATGATTTGTTGTATATTGTAAGTGCGAGCCCAGCCTATGTGTCTGTAATTTACATTGTGTAAGGTAACGTAGTTAAACGATTCATTCGTAAGCACACCTGTTTAACTGTAATATTGGTTACATATAAACCGTTGTATCGTAGTGCCGTGACGGATAACCTAAGCGCGTATTTAATAATTTATAATTTCAGAAACGAAATGAAATATCGTTCGATTTACGAGGACACGCTTCATTACGCGTAGCAGGGATTTGTTAATTCGTTATTCGTTGGACGCGTAAGTCCCCGCGGTTGTTATGCGCTCATAAAGGTCGTTTTCGACTGGCTCTTAGTAAATGAAATCGGTTGCAGTGGTGCAATGATGCAATGAATGCGGTCCGTGTTTTAGGAGTTCATATGAAACCTGGAAAAACTTCGTCCTTATCACAGGCCTACACAAGTTATGTTCGTTCAAGCGATTGCGTCTTAGATATCGTGCGAATTTTGTTGTTCGATCCAACAGAAGTTTTAATGACATTCCGGTATCATTCGTAGTTAACTGATACAAATTAGATGATAATTGTAAGCAAATATTGAATATTGATTATAAGTGACACAAATCTATATTATATTATTACACATGCACGAAGTAATGTCTATACTACTTACAGTTATTGTAATAGTCATACATTTTTTATGTATATAAATGTATCTTCTAAATTAATTTTAAATAAAATTATAGTCATTGTGTTAGACGGATGTACAAGCTTTTTTGTAGCCTCTTAGATCTAGTTTAGCACTGAACCATAGACTGCCGGGATTGAGAAAAAATCTCCATGCAAAGATGCAGATGGCCCGGGTCGAGTGCGATAGCTGCAGAATTGGGATCTTCTATCCTCTTTCAACTTTACTATCCTATAGTAAATTTGGGTATAGACTTGGACTAATCCCAAATCACACATACGTCAGTGTGCATACGTATCGCATGTAAGTGATCTAATGTAAACACGTAAACGGTATATACATCGTATATACAGCATCAGGAATTATTGTAATTCAGTGGAATTTACATTTGAGAAAAGTGTGGTTAAATCATGTTGTGTTAAAATCTAAAAGCTTGTGGTTCAAAGATAGGGTTCAAAGATAGGGTAGTGTAATTTATAATGACAATAAAAATGCATACTTGATGAAAAATATTTTTGATAGCGTTATAAAAAAAATTCAGTTTTTGCAGCTTCTCGAAAGATCCTAAGTTATTCACAGCATTTGTATAGGCAATACCTACGAATTTAGTAACTAAAGTAACGAAATACAGTTTACATTTGTAGTAAACATTTAAGTTGATTCCATTCAGTCTATGTCAATACCAAGCTTTAAGCAGCGATGAAAGATAAAAAAAAACAATACATTGCTCAACCATGATTTTCATTGTTCAATGATAACAATTTCGAAAAATGTGATATATTAATATCTATAAATGCATATTTCCTCATTTTTAGTAAAAATGTATAATCCAGATGGGCTGTGCTCTACTTATGAAAAACCACCAACAAATACCGATGATACAGATAATAAAAATGGTAAGTTGTATGACATACTCAATGAAACTATTATAAATGCATATTACTTCGCAGATAGTATTGTAAAAACGTATTATACTATATTTCGGAAGTTGTAATTAATACAATCTTAGCAAAATTATCATGTAAGGACTTTTTACTTGAGGACAAATTAGTAATTATCAGCAATACCTCGTAAATGTGAATAAATATTGTAGTTTCACTGCTTAGTGAATATGGGAAAGTTGTGTTTTCTATCTGAGGAAGTATATGAAATTATTAACGTATGCAAAAAAACTTTCCGAGCGGAGATTCATTTTAGATATATGAATAAATAAAATTTCAAAAGAAATATATTTTCAGTAGACCTGTCAGAGGTACGCTGGTAGAATCGCCTGCTTGTTCACGCCCCCGCATCTTGTGTTTGACAATAACGGATTATATGAATTGCATGAAGTTCAAATTCTTAAAGTTATGAAAAATATTTAGGTAAATATAAAAATTCTTATACATGTATAATAAAAAGAGCTACAGAAATTGGGCAATCGAGCGACTCTTAGACAAAAGTTTCACAAAAATATATTATTTGCGAATTTTTAATTCACACGCATGTTTAGAACATTGATTTTATCATGACTTACATTTTCTGAGTACAATTAGTTTGCGATGAACGTTTATATTAATTTATATTTCACAATGTAATCAAAATAAATTTCTATCTACCCATTTTTAATTACACATTCATTAAAAGGTATATTAATTATAGTTTTCACTCTACTTACAAATCTTCTGAAATTTTAATATTTTGTAGACACAATTATCATAAACCGATTTCCAAATTGTAAAGTCGATCCACCATTTAGTTTATTAGACAACTGCCTTTGAAAATAGCACTTTTTGTACAGACTTCGTATATCTAACATGCGGAAGGATACTACTTCTAATACATTTTGCATTGCAGCTGCTAAACGGATCTTACCATTTTTAAATAAAAACAGTGGGGTGTAAAGTAATATTGTGAGATTATTCTGAAGAAAAATGACAATGTTTGACCACTCAGTATTGGAGATGTCATCATTAAAAAAATATAAATTCCATTCCAACTCGAATATGGCGACGATCAGCGGTGACGTAGCGGCAACAGTGTACGAACAGCTGACTGGTGCGCGCGCGCCAAAGCCAATACATTTGAAACGTACTATTGCCTGAGTTCTAGTATTCTGGGAAGAACTTGAAATAATAATTGTTTTCGAATAAAACATTTCATTTATCGGAATATATTAATAAAATATACTAAACAAGTCAACAGGTTTTTTTTGGTCTTTAATTGTTCATGATGTTCACAAATGTTTCAATTCATTATGTTGATTGATCGTGATGACAATATAAATTCGTTGCGTAAGTTCTCAGGCTGAATGAGAACGAAAAATCATATGTACGTACTAAATTGCTGAATCCGTGATTTGTAAACTACGAGACGACGCTTTGTCGAGAGATAATAATTAAAAAATCTTTCATTATATTACTAAATTCTATAAACAGAATTAAATTCATACAGATATATACAATTTATCGGAATTCTGCTCGTTTTTGAATTTTCTATAAAATGCACATCTGTATACAATTTTCAAAAAATTTACATGTATATATACATTATGTTTCTATAACAGAGAAGAAGAAGAAACAAGGAGAGTGGTGACGATGAAATTTGCTACTGAGATGAGTAACCGCAGATGTTATTTGCGACACCTATCATTTTTTTATCTTCAGGATAAGAAACTTTGCTTAATTTAAGGAAGATAGAAAACTTACAGTTCTTAACATAATTGTTCAATATTCTCTATAACTAATTGTCTCCCTTCTTCAGCAGCTTTCCTACATGAATCTTTCGCAGCAGCTTCCAAGGAACTAATTTAAGGGACGTTCAAGCATGCAAATACTTTGTTTAAAGCAGTTTCCCTGATGCCAGAATAAACAGTACCTGAAATATCCATTTTCTGGTTATTCGTAGAGTATATTCAATGTGCTATATTTCATAATTGTGAAAAGTAAATTTTACTTACCCAACACAGCTTTGGTATTTACATCAGCATGATTACGATTATCACTGGTAACGTGTTTTTCCTGTGCGAACTTGAGTTATTGCAGAGCATTGATCGCACATAATATGGAAAATAGAATTTAAACTCATTCGTGTCTCCTCCACTGTTTTTCTTAGGAAAATATCATTTTTACATTGAATGCACCTCAAATGCTCGTCGCACCTAAATTCCACATCGACAATACATCTCCCTTCAAATACAAATTTTGGCGATTCATCCGTGAGGTTATGTCATCCTTCTTGATGTTCGGCTGAATTTGCTTTACACGTAGCTGTAAGAGCTTTCAGCTGCTTATCACAGGTTTTTTAATTCATAAATCGGCCATTGTACCATATTCGGTAAGACATTTTATTTTTACTTCAACAAAAAATTAATATCAGTTCTGCGTATCTACATTAGCTACCAGAAGAGAATTGTTCTGCTGCCACGATTATAGTGACGCACTCTGCATGTGTGGAAGACCTATTCATGCATCAGGTGTTTCTGTGTGAAAAGATGCGAACTGTATAAGAGCCGTCAAAAGTTTTCAGGCAATATCATTATATGAGGGTCATGTTTTACCATGGTTTTATTATACGATGCAGTCGAAACTTTTGGTTCGTACGTGTACCGATAGAACTACTTTAATGTTTTAGATTTACCTTTAGTTTCACCTTAGCTTACACATAACAGGTAAATATATGTAACACGCAAGTACCAAAATTTTGTAACATATGTCAAACATAACATGTATATCCATTTATATACCATGTACGAATCATCGTCCTTGTTTTATAATTATATTCCACCTACAGTTAACTAAATATGAATCGTATCTCTTAAATGTGTATCGCATATCAAAGTAATACTTTTAGGCGAAACACTATTAAAATTGTGTCGGCGTAACGTGCCAGTTACACTAAGCTTTTTGAACACCTTGAATACAATTATTTAATGTTTTCATCGCTATTATAATCGTAAGTACATGATACTTTCTTGAATTTTGCTAATAATTACAATTAAATTTATAATAAAACTCATTTCCTAACTGCAGTTTAAAAACCGTCAAAAGATCAGAACAAACATTACATCCACATTTCACTTCCCAAACGAAATTAAATCTGGATAAAATTTTGCCGGCATATTCGATGAGCTCTGTAGCATAACCTAAGTGCCAAAACTGAAAGCAGCAACTCTTTTCAAACCGACCATGCAAATGTGGAACTTTTATCCACGTAACCTATTTGTCCATAAGCCGAGTGTGTAAGAGTGAAACAGCAATTCTCATTTGTTAATTATCTTTTTCCAACAGGGCGACCCGGTTCCCAATACCCGTAGTTCTCGTTCCGGGTAATCTATTGTTCAGTGTATTTTAATTTTGTTTTTTTTTCTATCCTCGAGTAACGGAGTAGAAAAAGGGAGTGGTAATACACTAAATTCTTGCGACAGTGTTTCTTCAAAAAATAGCGAAATAAATGACTTGTAAACAAGATATAAACAAGTTTTGGATTTCTGAAATTTGTCCACCGGTGAATCAAATTAACAGATTCATTAAAAACGATAAAATTTATTCATTTATTCGCATAGTCGGTCCACGATATCATTGCTTTTTTGTGTTGCAAGTCTGTCCAGAGTGGACGGCGTAAGTGGCTGTGCATATAATTTTTGTTATAAAGTATGAATGTGAACAGTTTGGCATCTAAATATGTATATTTAATTTTTTTTATTTTAGCATTTATTTCCGTGACTTTATGGAATGCCACGTGTGATTTGCTAATGATTGCATTACTTGCGAACCGTCCAAAAACACATTGAACTCGTGGACCGACTATATCATTATATTATATGTATATTAGGGGTGTTCAAACAATTGCCCGGAAAATGAAAAAAACCTACCTTCATTACAACTTTCAGGAAACTTTTTCCAGACACTTCGTGTTTACATCATATTATGTACTTATGCAGACGAGTAACCATTTTTTTCTCATATTTTACGTTAGTTCTTGAAGTAACCCATACTTTCATACTAATATGTGAATACATCATGTTGATTGTTTTTGTTTTAAGTAAACTCGGTAAACTTTATAAACATGTTTTATTAACATACATCGTTTTGTCTCGTATTACGCAAGTTCCGTCATCTTCGATCTACTACCCGTCTCTCGACCTACTCCCTTCTCAATCTTCAGGTGATAGTGAACCCCTTCTCTATCTTAGGTGATACCAGTGCGTGATACCCTAATCTACGTCGCGCGAATGAAATTATATCTTGCGAATACATTAGTTACTTTAATCACACTAACTTTTTTACCTCTTCACTTATTACACATGTATTTTTCACTGTTATATAAATATATAACTTCCAGACTACTGGATATAGGGACGGTTACTAAATGTCTACCCTGTATTATGCGCATAACAACAAGTCTTTAGTTCATCGTGATTGTGAAAAATATAATAGAAACTTGCAAAATTACGATACGAATGACGAGACAATTATAACAGACTACTAAGTGTTGCATAATTATTATAATCAAATGATTACTATTCAGTAAAAGTTTGAATAGTTTTACTTCAAGACAATTATGTGAATAATTTAGATTCTACTGATATTAACTCCGGTCCAACCGGTCTATAGTAAAAAATTATTTATGGTTGAGTGAGTTAGATTCCTGTTTTTGTTCCGTTCATTACGTTTTACAAATTTATTTTTAGTATTATAAGTTTAACAAATGGTGTAATTATAAAAATGCGACAACGGATAATAGTATATAATAGATGGGGATTTTAATTTGTTCAACAATTTTAATCAAGATTAGTTAAATCTGTAACACGTGGATAAAACTTCCATAGCCTTCTTTAATTGCTCATTTCAAACATCACTGTGCGAGCGTAAATGTACATAAAAATGCCAAGTACAGTTCTCTTGTTACACATACTATTATAATGTACATTTATTAATATATTAATTTTAATTGAACTTTATTTTGTTGATGTCGCAATGAACGACATTAATTAATCGAGTACACGTTACAAATTTATTTTTTACTCGATATCCAATATCCAATTTGTTGCTTCATTGTGTCACGGATCGATTACCAGAATTTCCAATCGTTGCACAACAGAACGTTTTTGTCCGGCTTCGGGTATTGTCGAGACAATTTTATATGGATACGATTAACAGGATGTAATATAGTTTTTGTAAAACTGTCATGATTTTCTGCTGAATCTATCTATCTATAGAAATTACCAGAATACTCGTGCTATAATTTTAAAAATTATTTATAACAAATATTTGTCGTCCATCGTTTATGTGTTTCATTATTACTTATTAAGGTTCAATGACATGGTAAAACAACATTAAGTAATCAAATAGTTGTATAATATAGACTTATAGTTTAGTCGAATATTGAATGTTATTATTAACGAATAGTGAGAAGTGTATGAGTAATATATTACTGGAATTACATAGACTATTTAACATTTGACTCAGTAGTCCAACAAAGTGCATTTTTTATAAAATGAAATACATATTGGTGTGTATGTCAGTGTAAGACATTAATCCCACAAGGGTCTGAATGCATTCTACCATTTACGTACTTTTTACTAGGCCGGAAACAGTTTAATTGAAATAATTGGAACAGTTTGATGCAATGGAAAGTGTACAATGCTTCAATTGAGAACCACTTCGTTCGTAGACGTTACAAGGAGCTTCATTCCGCTCTAAATACTTTAAAGAACAAGTCTGTTAATTTTCTTCGTAAGGTTTCGAACTCTAAAATTTATTCCAGACTTTTTGGCAAAACACAAGCTTATCTGTCATTTAATTATAATATTATAATGATTATATCATTCGTTGGATTTCAAGTATTTCTTCATTTTTACCTCACGGTTGAGTTATGTTCCTTTCTACGAAGAAATTTTTTTTAACTCAAACGTAATCACCTAATCACCTTACGGCCGTAGTCAAATTTCATTGCAGTTGTTGAATACATTACCATAGAAGAAGGAATGTATCGTGGAATGCACATTATTCAAATATCCATCATTGTCTTGCCGTTCAAGTAGCTTATATTATGAGAATTTAAATGACTCGGTTACATGCGCTGTGCATTATTTGATATTTCTCATGTTCGTAGGGTGCAGAATTATTAGTCGGTGGATGCATCCGGTGCATTTGTATGCTGCACTGGAATGTTTTAATTGATAAAAAGAGAACAAGAGAATTGTTGGTAAAAAAGTGCACAGGTTACCACATTATTACCTGGAGTAACGTATGCTATCTGGCTGAAATGCTTGGCTGCACAACGGTAACGATTAAAATGAAATTCCATTGTAATTGCCAGCGCCTCGTTATTCGTTGAGCAATCAGGTCGAAATTTTTGTGGAAGAGGATAGGTGACGATTTTAAAGTAAAAAGCCCAAAACATTCTTGGGACTGAAATCGTTTAATTAAGTCTTTGTACAGAAAACAATAAAAATGAACATAAATTCATTGCAAATCACCATCATATATTAGCATTTGATGCGTAGTGCTAGTACTACTATTATATGCTTGATAGTTTCTAGACTTATTCTTTTTAATATAGGTTTATGCAATTATGATTAGTGTTGTAAAATTGTGTCGTTCGTGTGTTGGAGGTACACACGACGTGGAAACGTGTTGCGAGGATTTGGGCTTGAGGGTCAAAAAGTCGGATATCAAAGGTCTGTTGGTTAAGGAAATTTGTGTTTTCTGTATTGTTTGCTTGATACCTTAATAATACGCCTTTGTACCCATTGCGTGACGGGAACAATGTGGGCAAACACTAACCAATATTTCTTATTTTTACTCAATAATCAATAATAATTATGTCCTATCGTATTTGTAATATACCACAAATTGTTATCAGTATAATACAGTATTGATTATGTTTACACTGTAACCTATAAATCTATAGAATATATTTATGTATTTACATAAGAGTAATAGAAACAAACAATCTAAAAATACGTCTGCGCGTTTGCATGAAATGTGAAATAATATTCTGATACCAGCAGCGAGCCTCGATATGTGCCAGATGTTGGCATCAGACACTTTTAGATGCATTATTTTTACGAATAAGATTCATCGTACAATATATCATCTGTAACTATTCAATGATTCATTTTCCATCTCTAAACAATGCTTGCCACAAATTAGATATTTCACTTGCCTTAAAATCATGCGCCAAAGGCAGAGTTCACGCAAACGCGAAAATACGTTAATTTTTATACTTTTATGTATATATATATATATATTTATTTATTTATTTCAGAGCCCAAATTGAATCACTAAATAATTAAAAACTATTTTAGAAACAACAAAAAGAACGCGCTCTCTTCCAATGCGGCGTTGCTTTATCAGTGATACAAAAACTACTAATTGTTCACGCCATTATCAACTTAAGGATTTAGAATGTATCTTGGCTATATCGGTCATTTTGGAGCGTATATAGCCTGACAATTTTAAAAGGATCGTCGGGTCTCACAATTTCATATAATTCTTCTCTTATCCTATTCACGGATGTCGATGGTAAAAATCGTATTTCAAGATAGAAAGTGTCAGGACACGCAAGAGACGTTGAAAAACATCCGTTATTAATTTTTGCCTGCAATACATATATAGGAGTTGAAAACGCATATTGGTTTTTTTGCTGTTCGAAAATTTCTGTTTTACCAAAAAGTTGTAAGTGGATTGTTCTATGGATTTACTGCGTGTAGAGGTGATACAAAAATAAGTATGGTGGAGCCCTGTTGCTCTTTTCTAGACCATGATATACCTATCGCTATCCTGGCTATCTTCGAATTCTATACAGTTTTTGGGATGGCTTAGAGCAATCTTCACGATATTTTTCCACGGACGGATAAAAGTTAAATCCTCACGTATTCGAATAAGAACTTCTTTTTTTCATTCCTCGTAAACGAACAGCTTAATCTAATACGCACTATTCTTCTTTTGTACACGAATAGTCAACAAATACACGCTTCGCAAAACATGGCATCCGATGTATTTCGTTTTCGTTATAATATTGTATATTTTGTGGAGATGCTAACGTCGAAGTCATGTTCGAGTGATACGTATGTGAGTCCGATGGAAAAATCTCGTGAAAATAGTGATTAGCACAAACTCGAGTGGTTCGGGTGGGATGTTCAGTTCAATCATAAGCTTGAGTGACATCGAAGCCACGAGACGAAGTAGAAGGTGACAATCAGGAACTTTAGGTTCTTTGCTTTTGAACTCTAGACCATTTTATCTGAGCGCATTACTAACAGCCTCTACAGTCGTCCCATGACGTCGGGTACAATTTACTTTAATTAATATATCTTCGTTATTTATATTTCTAGCTAAATGTTAAAAGTGAAACATGCAACAACCGGCCATGGCACCGCCAAGTAATATAGTTATTCTACAAGTTTTTCTGTCCTGCCTCTGTCCGATCGTTATTTTGTCTTCACAAAATTACAAAGCATTCGTAGCATTCGCACATAGTTATTTACATGCAATACATTCCCCCTTCGTTTCTTGTACTTTATCGTTAGTATAGTCTTTCGAGAAATACACGTAATACGACCGCTCGATCAGAATTTAACGGTCCAAGTTAAAAATTCGTGTACAAGCTCGTAATCGATCAGACGAATTTAACGAGAATACGAAATAGGAGTGGACAATATTAATTTATGTGCATCGACTTCTTTCGTAGATATCAATTCCGGGGAAGCAGTCGAATTTTTATTATGTCCTTTTCACGTATTTACATGTATGAGTCTCTATCCGAGTGAATTTTCGGCAAAAGGTCTTTCTCACAAGTTAGTAACAAGTTTTTGGCCTGTGGCTCTGTAGGTTATGTAACCTAACTGTCGTGTAAGAATCAACAATTTTCCTTAGCATTTTACAGTCGTATCGCCTTTTTGCATATTGGCATTCTACCCGTACATCCAAGCCAGTCTCCATTGGGCCTCCATGTGGTCCTTCTCAGCGTTTCGGAACTCTCACTACGTTAATCTATGTACATATTGTGTAAAATTACCTTACTTAATGGGTCAACAACAGGCCCCAAATGCGAGGCCTTCGAGTAATTAAAACTTTTAGGTCATCTCTAGCCAACTGCTTACTTTACGGTGGAGAAATTTTGCTGGGGATTTTGATTTGATGATACCCACGTAGTAAACACATCTCTGCAATATAAAAATATTGAAATTGAATAACATAAATTATATCACTTAGAAAAAATTTAGATGGAAACTTTATGCATTAGATTACAATAAATTAAAATGGTATTATATAAAAATCAGTTGAACAAATGAAAAATCTTGTTATACTAAAGTTCATTCAGTAAATATTCATCGCCAACACTATTTTGTATATTCATTTATACAATATATAAAGTTCCTTTAAAATATATCATGTATGTAAATGAATAAAATATAAAATATTCAAAACAATGCTCACACAAACCTGCAGTGGCTGACCACACACTCATTGCTGCAGTATTCATCTTCCCATTCACTATTAGCTACAGCAGGATTTGGACATCCATGGCGAATGCAAGCATTTGTAGGTGGTCGCTGACCACCCATAGCACCTTGAGAACCACTAACAGGTGGAGGACTCGATAAGGAGTCAGCTCTAGGAGGACTCATGTGCATCATTTGTTGTTGCTGCACCGACACCTGCTGCACTTGCTGTTGTGGCACCTGCACAGGTTAAAGATAGAATAAAATGTTTAATTCACTGATGATATCAATGCACTGAGGTAAATAAAACGTAGAATATTGATTTTTTCTCACGAAATTCCGAACAAATATTTGAATAGTTCGTAGCAAATATTATTTCACGTATACACAAAGTATAAACTGAGGTTATGTAGTCGTATGATTATTTTCATCCTCATTTCCCGATAACAATAAAATGCTACTCCATCACGTCACTGTAGGCATCTTAGCACAACGTTAATGCACTCACGAGGTAATAAGCTCCAGCTGATTTGAGGCGGAGAATGGAAAAAACTTGACCGGAACCATCGACCGCCTTCACGGCGGCCATCTTGGGCGCTCGATTAGTAACAGTTGCAAGAACTTTAATTTAATATCAGTTATTTTTTTCTATTTTTGAGAAATAATACGCCAGCGAACTTAAGACGGATGAATAGGTATTACTATTATTTTTAGTACAACCTTCACTCTAATACCAGAACTAACTGGTTGTATTGAAAAGACAATAAATAACGATTGCTTTGACTAATGCTATGGTAGTTCGAATCCTTCCATAATTCGACGTAAGCGAATAGGATATGAAGACAACCATTATATTTACAATTAGTATATAACGACTCATGATAATTCGTTAAAGTGTCATTGTTACGCCATTGATAACGGGTATAATATATAAAGCCTGATTCATACATTTCTGTGCCGTAACCGTATGTATCATACTATTCACGTCCGTGCATTAACGTAAACAAATTTTATTTTATATATCTAAGCCAGACTGTCCTCGCATTTCAATTTCTGTCTCAGTGCTTTATTTAATAGTACTGAAATCTGTGTGCAAATTCCAAACTGATGCAGCCGGATATATAACGGGGATACGGCACTGAAATGTGTGAATGGACCTTATGGTACGTATCATTGAGCAGTGATACCAGATTACAAATACATGAAACAACAAATCTATCATGTACAATGAATTTATAAGCTATGGTACAAAAATATAGTATGATAAATATGTTATTTAGCATATTCATTATCTGGCAATTAACCTAAGAAATGGTATAACAATTTACGTACCTGCTGCATGTATTGTTGTTGCATATGCTGTTGCTGCGTCATATGTGGAGGCGCCATAGTATTGTTCATTAGTGCCTGAAATACCAAAAAATATATCGTTAAATTTCTATATGTGTAACAAGATAACGGTTTTTGTGCTGATAATAAATGAAAGGATTGAAAAACACATACGTAAAGAAAATTCATAAAAATACCTGCTGCTGTTGTTGCTGAGGATTGGCCTGCATTGCAAGGTGGTGAGGAGATTTTTTGATCGTCATTTGCTGCTGTTGCTGCTGTTGCTGATGTTGTTGATGTTGATGTTGTTGGTGCTGTTGAGGCGAAGGTGGCTGAGCTTGTTGCGGACTATAAACTTGATAAGCAACATTTCCTGGCGGTCCATTTCCTCCATATCCGGCATATCCACCGTACTGCACCGGCTGCTGTTGTTGCTGTTGTTGCTGCTGTGGGGGCTGTTGTTGCTGTTGCTGATCGTTCTCTGCTGCGCCTTTGCTCACTAATGATGCCCTGTATGCTGCAAGAGCCTTCAAATATTCCTTCTTCGCAGCTTCAGTCTTCTTCTTATAAACCTGCAGAAATTGAATTGATTTACATACGTTTTTCTTAACGGCTGTCTGGAAGATAATGTGTAATCGCGCTATCTAGATAATCTTGCGAGACAATAGAAAAAATAATCTCATCCCATGATGTAACAGAAACAATGCTAGATTTTTGCAGTTTGATAATCTGCACTGCACGAGTAAAGTGAATGTTCCGTGATGTATGCAAATTATAATTTCACACATTATCGGTAAAGCAGCTCTCACATAATAATGAACTTTTATGGATTAACCGGTACCATTAAAACATAAAAATAATCGTTGGAGATTCGTTGCGCAACTTGAAAGAGTCATCTTGTGTCCACTGTACAAGTATGGATTTGCACAACAATTAAAAACATATTATACGCGAATGAATCCAGAATGGCTTCCGATCCGAGAAGAGGCTTTTCTCATGATCCTCGTGTATTCATTCTTTTTGAGTGATTCACTTGTTAGAAAGGGTTGTAGTAGGTACAGTAGGTACCTCTATATGTATACGATAATTAAAAAAAATAATAATGGTAGCAAACAGTCTCTATTAAAGAAGAGAACCATACAAGAAACAAATACTCATTGGATGTGAAGCAGAAATATATACACATGTTGTATATAGCATGAATACCTTTGGCCATATACCTTCGGGTACTTAATTAAAACTTAAAAGCAGCACAATGACGATTGTTTCCCAGCATAATTAAATACTCCATTCAGCAGTGAATCGTTAATATTTCATTTCCAGTCTCTTCCATGATATTCAACGTCTTCCCGGAAACCTATTTGTACGACTTCCTGCGCGTTATCGTATGGTAGTAGCTACTTCAACGAAACGAATAAGCGTTCGAAATTACAAGAGGGCTGCGGCGGCCATTAAACAACATTGTCTTGCGTCCATATCGAAGCTTGATTTAATGAGAATTAATACATGAAAATTTGGCTGTAGCTCGCTTATGAATTTCGAGGGCGTTCAATTATTCATGGAGAATCACGTTCGTCAGTAAACACGAAAAGTTCGTTACACGATGAAGAAAAATAAGATCAAATAAAATTTCGCTCAGTTCACAATGGTAATAAATTTCTCAAATAAAGCACGGTCCCATTCCTTCTTATTTATACGGCGTACCCTAAATATTTCACGATCATGAAAACGTCGACATTGCGCAACCGTCGAGGAAATTTAGCTCGTAACTTCTGACTCCGCGTACACGTACAGCGTAATACACAAATTGCAATGAAGTCTTAGCATTATAAGGTATATACGTGTAAGTTAAACCTTACCAACGCTTAAACAATGCGCATATATTCTTACGTTTATTTAGGTATATAGCTACATATTATTGCACAGTAAGAATGCACCTGCCGTGATTTCATAGTGAAACTTTATAGCAAAATGGCGTTGTAGCAGTTTATCGAGACATCGCTCTCAGATAAAACAACCGTTGCTTTGCGTATTTATCTATGATCCTTCTTATATTATTGCAACGCCTCTTTATTATTCCTGATATCGTTATCATTACGTATCATTCTCATGTATCGTAACCATAGTTTTTTGTTTTTGTGTGATATACGAGCGCTAAGTAGTTTTGTCGTGTAACATGCTTGAACGTCAGTTTAATTTGACGTGTGGCCTGTCCGTTCGAAAGCAGTGCAAAAAAGGCTGTAGACGGAAAATCCATATAGAACGTGTTTAATTTGATATTAAAGGACAGGCGACCGTTCGCCGTAAATCAATATCTTCTTAATACGTATTGGTGGAATTATATTCCCTGAACGTTCAACAATTATTTTCTGTATAAATTGCATTTACGTAGAGTCTCGATAGATCAGTCGAACGAGAAATATTCAATGTAGTGAATATTTTTATATCACACTGAAAATTGATGTTCCTGAATAGATATTGAATCCAATTCAATTTTCCAATAAGATTTACAAAGCAACCGGTACGCGTGCGCAGAACCACAGAAAAATACTTCCTAAAAGATGAATTCTTACTTGAATTATGTATGGAACTTTTGTGTAACGTTTATTGATCCAGCAGGGGCGATGTCAGAAAACCATGTTTGAATATGCGTTTGTGATTGTGAAACGATAAGTAAAACATAAAATGGACGGGGAATAGGAGTATGAGGAATTTAATCAAGATCCTATACGACGGCAGAACGTCACAACACATTCACAATACCGCGGAGCGTCGTGTCCTACATATTCTTAAATTAAAATGCACTTTCCCGAGATTATCTCTGTATTTATGATACATGAAGAATGATTAATGTCAAGCATACTATATTCTATGTATAGGAATACAACTAGAATCTCGCATGTAACGAGGTAAATAAGAATTGATTCTCGTACTGCTGCTCGAGAATAATAACTGGTACATAACGTAAGAAGCAACCGAGAAATTAGTAGAATAATAAAAAGACTCGTAAAGCGGTTTCTTATTGCGTTATACACTATTAAAATTCCAGCATCGATAATAATTCAACGTACTTGCTTTTACGACCAGCCACAATTATATTCTCTCATGCTAAATCGCTAATTGTTCGAGCAGCGTTACATATCGACTTCAGAAAAATTGTTTACACTTTGGCGATATTATTGACTTCGCGAGAAACACTTTAATATTCATGAAGCACAATTTCACATTCGCATAAAAATGTTAAAGTAGGTTTTAGCATCTATGAACGATTATCGTTTATATTTAAATTGACCGTGCAGAATTCATCGTCAGTTTGTTTTTGCCCGTCTAATAGATACTTGGGATATCTGCTTTTTGCGAAATTTATCATAAACGAGCATAATTATCTCGGAGGAAATAAACGAGCCAGACATTTTCAGAGTTGATAGCAAGAGCAAGTAGAATTTAATACTGAAAAGGAGTGATAAAAATAAATAAGGAAAGGAAAAGAAGAGAAGGCTCTCTAATAGTAAGCACAGTATTATAAAGCAGAGCTGGCGATGGTGGCCGACGAATCGCGTGTCAAGGAGCTACGATCAAGCGACTATATACTTTTCCGTAAACATGTGTTATTTATGAGAGGGAGCGCACGCTGTACTTATCAAACCAGGTACGCCAGACGTACAGTCTAATGACTGTGCATAGTGCAGTATACTATGTACCTATGTTCCTATCCGAAGAATCGTTCTCACGGTCGACTTCGAGGTCATTTTAGCTCTATGAATTTCCTTTCGGTAGTTATTCTTCAAATGTTCTTTCATACATACAGGGACGGAATTATCGAAGCATGTACTCACGTTCTTGTGATCGGTATCCAGGGCGTCCCACATGGACGCGACAATTTTCGAGACTTCGCCGAAGCTCGCGTTGGGGTTTTGTCCCTTGATCGCTGCCTGGGTGTCCCTGAAGAAAAGTGCGTACGCCGAGACTGGCCTGAAAGTAGAAAAATATAGAAAATTAGATTTGAGAATATCGTAGGACAAATGATTGAGGTGGGCAAGTATTTAGGAATTTCGGAAACGCTCGGCACGATTCGGCTTCGCTCGACTCAATTCGAACGAGCAGCTCGAACTCGGCTGCGCCGAGTTTAGATTTATAGGAGCGAGTAACAACTATCGCTAATCCGACTATAACCGTGTAATCTGGCTCAACTATTACGGCATTATTGCTACACGAATGGAATGGTCCTACGACACACCATCATTACCAATAGAGTATAGAAAGCGGCTAGCTATTTCTGTGCTATGCTCCGATGCAGCAGGCCCGCTTGTACCTGCAGCTGGACCCATGTCCTACATTCAAAGGGCTGCAACAATAACGGTAATTGCCAATTCATGATGGTAATAACTTATACCCACCGTCCCACTGCGCCATCGTTTTGCCTTAGCGAGCATACTGCGATACCTTCATTAAATCGAAGCAATCGGACACGTATTACTGTTAATTTAGCTTTCTTAATATAAACGGATATCTGAACGAATAACGATGTTTTACGAACGTAGAACAAGTTTCTTCTTCACTACGTGATGGATCATCGTTAAACTGGGAAGCCGTTTCTTAAAATGAGTCACGCGTTTCCTTTTATGTCAACATTAATGGAGGTACCATTCTTCACGGAACCCTTTTTGCCTAACTCTGTATTTAAATAGAACATTGGGATCATTCGGGAAGCGAATAGAAGGAGCAGTGGGAGTAGGGCGAAAAGAAGAAGGAGAACGCAGCCACGATGTGCGAGGTGTAGAAATTAGTTTATTCTCTATTGAATGATGTATACGGCTTTCACGATCCAGCTAGGAGGGTGCCGGGGCGAACCCAGTATAGTCTATTTGATTGATTTGCAAATTTCAGCATATTCAGAAATTTACCAAGTTGTCACTAGCAGTGCTCTTTACCCTTATGTATTATTTCACGGTTCTGCGTGAACGTCGTGACAACAAGAATTTATCATTCAACTTGAACGGGCTTTTCTCCTTATGGGTATTAAATACTTTGTTCAATTTGTAAATTTGGTATCACTTGATAAAAGTATCAACGTGTCCCGACTTACTTTTGTGGTTCGTTCGGATCTCTTTTCTTCTTCTTCTTCTGCACCTTCGGCTTCTTCTGGGCCTTATTCACAGTGTCGGTTGGCTCTGGCGAAGGTCGTTTTATGCCAGTCAACTAAAAAAAAAAAAAGCAACGAATCAATACTGTTACCGAATGTGAGGGAAAACATTCTATTTGCGGAAAACATTCTTTTTGATTTACAGCCTTATTGGTAGACTACATTCGTATGTGTGTATAGGCCGCTCTGTGATTTGTGACTCTCAACAAAAAGATATACGAGAAGGTAAAATTGTTTTTACGAAAAGGGAGAATTGGCTTCATCCAATTGTTGGATGATTTCAGCTCGAATTAACCGTAGAACATCACACAGTTTTTACATCAATGCGTAGGTCGTACATTCTGTCAGACACGAGGTTATAAATTGCAATATAACTCTGTAACGGATAGACATGTTGAAAACTCAATTACAAAGTAAAATCAAAATTTGAAAATGAAGTGAAAAAATCCTTTGTTTAAAAGTTACATGCTTTGGAAGAAAAGGCGTGGCGCAGAAAAAAAAAAGGAAGAATAAAGAAATGACGTGCGTCTTTCAGACACATGTGTTAGATAGTCTCCAAGTGGTGATCGCTTGAGTATGTGCCCCATACAACCACTACGGCACAGGCGAGTCCTTGATTTTTAGGTTATAGAAATTTAAAATCTTATGCGTCAATACCTGATGTTGAAAGATGAATAGAAAAAACGATCCTGATTCACTATACGATTATCGATTTGTACGTAATAACGAGGTACGCGAAATGATATCTCGTGTTCTTTTTAAATTGACAATATTACACACTGGGCGCCGTCCGTATAATTCTGATCTATTTAAACAGGTGTAGTCTTACGCGGAGAACAAATAAACGTACAGTCGCCACGAGAATTCTCTTCACTCAGAGAAATTGCTAGTTATCGTAACTATAAAACTTCAACTAATCACGAATAGTTGGCGCTTTCAAATGGGCGCATAGTCCATGTAGTAACTACAACTACACAAATTCCTCTGAGTAATAGTACCCAGGTTTCGAGTCCTCTCATCTCATGAGCTTTTATAGAGTTTTCAACAATGCCGATTAAGGGATTTTGTCAAGTTTTTTTTTCTTTTCCATTTCGAAATATACAAAGGACATTCATACAATTCCCTCGGGCGCTGAAAATACTGCTGACGAAAATACGAGAGAGTAGTCACACAAGAGACAACAGAAGATGGAGAAAAATGAAAGTTTCGCTTAAGTAACGAACAAGCGACGTTAATTCTTCAGTTATAGAGATAGAAATATTGCACTTCCGTTGTACCACCAACTCTTTCTATCGGCACACGAGTCTAACGACGACACCATCTGCGCGAATGCTGACGCCTCATTTATCTCAAAACGTTTGTTTTTATGCACGATTTCTTTCTGAAAGTAGGACGTATACCGGTGATTTCACATTTATGAAAATGAGCATATTTTGTACTAAGGAAGGGAATGAAAAAAAACAAAAAGAAAAAGAAACGAGTAAATTGTACTATTATCTTCAGAATAGGGCAGATGTGAATTTTAGAGGCTTCATTATTCTTGAAATTCATATATAAGTCTTTGGAAACATTCATAGCTTTTTTAGTCCATTTCGAAATCAAGAAGAATGTACGTTAGCTATCTGTAAATAGCCTGAATTGTTGACCCAACATTTCTTGAATACCTACGACATGTATGTAAACACGACCTATTTGTTCATTTGAATTGTGGATTCTAATAATAATATAAATATTTGAACATATGTACCGTAAAATTTCGAACTACCACGTAAACATATGGGATAGTGATATTATCTAATTGGTGAGTATCTACGTTTGTAAAATATACCTGTGAATAGCGACGTGATATAATCAGGGATAAATGTGTATAATCAGGCACAATGTAAAAGTAATTGTACCTCAAGTTTTAAATCAGGAGGATCTTTCGAAGTTAATGCATTAGATTAGGTAGCGTAAACCATTCGGTAAACTTTACGTGTATCATTCTATGATGATTTTGTTTTTATCACAGGCAAAATTGAACTCTCTAGAAAATATAACGTCGACATATTTTTCACTACAACACTTTTATCCAACACGGCAAATGTGCTCACTGGATTCATATTAAGGAACAAATTCCAATTTCACCATATTGCTACTTCAGACCAAAGAAGTAACCTTAAAAACTTGAGAAAGGCATTACAAATAAATGTAACTGGGCAATATCCAGTAGGATATTCTTAGTGAATATTTTATCTTAGAAGTAACGTTCTTTTAGAGGATTTAGATTGGATCTTCAAGGCAGAAAATACTTGTACGATTCCACATTATACTCCATTGTACGTACATTTCTTGCGTAAATATACTTTTTGAAATGTATTTTAGAACATCGTCATAAACGGCAAGTGGATAAACAAAGCAATATGCATCAATATGTATGACGTACACGTAATTTTATCAAGGAATGCGTTGTTTAGATAGGTAACACTAATACTTGACAGTTTGTCTAAAAGTTAAAAAAAAGATCGTGACTGTGATTCATGGATATTTTTAAGAGGCTCCATTTTTAAACCTTCATTTTCATACACGAACCAGAGGCTACATAATATATAATCGAATCCGGGTAAAAAAAAAAAAATTCTAAAAAATGTCAAATTATAAATAGAAAAAATTTTCAAGCATGAAAGTGCACTTTCAAGAAATTCAAAGACACATCATTCTGCAATGTACTCTGCACAATGCTAAATCTTTCGTCTGACGTTTTTCATGTTGCAAATTAAAAAATTCGCGAAAGTGCTTGTGCATGCACTATCAAAATGTCGAGGAGAGAGGGGATGAGCTAGTTTTGTAAAACTGACTTGTTCCAGGCGGAACAACAGTTGCATACAAATACGATCTATTTTTGCGCGAGAGGCTAAACAAATAAAAGGAGAACGGGGGGGGCGGAGGGGGAGGGAGTTAGGGAGGAAATGAAAGGGTGAATAGGAGGTGGACGGAAAGAGAATATTTGTACAGTGAAATAATGAGAGCTCCAGAATACGAAAAAAGGTATTGTGTCAGCTCTCATGTTTCCTCCTTCTACTTTGGCCTTCGTAATCTTTGATAGTTCTTATTCTTTATTTCCTTTCTTTTGTGTTACCGTTAAAAGAAATAACAAAAAATTGATGAAACTCTCCGCGCCGGTACCTAATAACCTCCATGAACATAATTTTATTATTTTAACAACTCTGCAATATTCCGCTCTGGTAAATTACGATTTATATATCTTCTCTCTCTCCTCACTGTAACTGATAGGTTGGTAAGTATCGTTCCGACGAAGCACAAAAAAATATTGTGGCCTTTATTACCGCACAAAAAGATATTCTTTCTATGGATACTGCTAACATACATCTGTTACTAGCATTTCTTTAGTTTAAATAAGTATTATGGAAAACGAGATAAAGATTTAGAAATTTCGTTACAATATTTACATGTTCGTGAATCTCATGGAGTAATTATTATTTTGAATTATGTCGATATCTTTATTAGTTATTGAAATATTAATTATTGAATCTTTGAATAACCGCTTTAGGCACATTTGATGTTCTGAATCGTGCGTGACCGGACATTAACGCTCGTAACTTCATTTCCACACAATTTGCAATGATCTGTAAAAGCGAATGGAAAACGAGAAAACTCAAGCTTTAAAATGACTTTTAAGTTATCTTCTTAAATGAAAAATTGAAAAATTTATCATCGCTTAAAAGGCAAAAGTGCTTTTAAAAAAACACGAATCAATGTTTTTTATAGTAAGTCAATAGACATTTATTGGATTATTGTCCGCAAAATTGCATTTGAAAGTAGAAAATATACGCAATCTGTTAACGTGATCCTGATTGTGGTTGAGTTGAGTGGCTTAAAAGTTTTTGTCTTTCATACTTCCACTGTTACCGCAATTATCGGTTCTGTGAGATAGCTGTTAACTGATATATACAGAAGAATTTTAATCATTAAATACATTCGATCAAGATTACAAAATAAAGGACCTCTCAAATATTTAATTATCAATTAAAAATCTTGCCTATGCTGATTGATTAAATTTTACAATTACGGCCTGGTATCAGTTCATGATTCTTCTTCGGTGTAGAAGAAAACGAAAACGCAATGTAATCATATAAAAATAATACTAAGAGTACGCTATGATGCTTTTAGATATCGATAAAAAACATATATATTTCCGCACGTCACTATTGTGCAGGATTCATTGAATCTACAAGGTAAACAATATCGAAATATATAAGAAATAATTATACAGGTTTATGCAAGGATTTGTGAGAGAAAGACAAAGCATGACTTTTAACGAAGGGCGTGGAGCATGCGCATAATGCAACGTATCGAAAACTGTAAAAGTTCAAGTGCAAAGGGCAATAAGGGCAATGCGTACAGCCGTGTATTTTTTAAGTACTTTTGGCTTATAAACGGTGATAACTCTTTCAATATTTTATTTAGAGACATAACTTTGTAGCCATTTGAAAGCTTGAGTTTTCTCGTTTCTCATGCGCTTTTACTCATTATCGTAAATTGAATGGACGCAGAGTTATGAGCTATAATGCCCGGCCGTGTACAGTCCAGAGCGGCAAGTATCCGAATGTTCAACCGTTAACACCTCACTACCTAGAATAAAGATATCGACAAAAGTCAAAAAAAGCAATTGCTTCGCTTGATTCAACGAAAATTTTAATATTTCAAAAAACTTCTCTATCCGTAATTTGCTTTCCATAGTATTTATTTATATAAAAAAGTATTACCAACAGATAGTCTGACTATTTTTGAAAACAATAACCATGCGATTCCTGTTTCCCGTAAGAATCAACAAAAATTAACCAACGCGCCCTGCTTGAGACACGGAAGTACGATGACCGGATGGATTATCCGTGTATCGATTTCGACAATATTATCTTGATAATGTCTGATAATGTTTCGCATTATAGTTACGGTGGCTATGAGTTTCCAAAAGGCTATGAAATCAACCGAATTCGAGTTATACATTTCTTTTCTAAAGTTAAGCTCACGCGTGCTGCGCTGGCAATATGAAGAAACGTATATAGCGACAGTCGGTCAAGTAAGGAGTTAAGGTCAAGCGCTTTATACCTGCTTTACACACAGTGCTAGAAATGTGAACGCGTATGTGTTTATTGGACTCGGTCCACTTTCTCAAGTGCATTGTCTTTCATGATCCCTACGTTGTTAAGAATGACTGTGCGGTCCCACATGGATAACTTATATCGCCCTTTTGTTCTAAATTTCGTACCATTACTCTCTAATAATATCGAGTGGAAATGTAAAAAAAAAAAAAAAAAAAAAAAAAAAAAAAAGGGGGAAAAAAAAAAAAAAAAGTAAAATAAAGAAAAACTAATTTCGATGAGCATGACTATTCCTGTATATTAGAACGTCAAGAGGATCGAGTGTACTGTCCGCAACGAATCGTAGCACAAAGAAAGTCTTGTGTCACGTAGAGTAACCGTGTTTCAAAATCGATCAAAGTGATAAAGGTGGAAGGAAGCAGATAGAAAATGATGATGAGGAACTGGGAAAAGAAAAGAAGTTTAGTGTAAGGAGTAAATTTATCAGTTTATCAAAGTCTGACTGAACTCACCATCGCGGAGTGTGGAGTACTGTCATCACTATCCTCGCTGGTGGTAGTGTTGTTATTCTCCGGAATGGCATTTGGTTGGATAGCAGGTGGACTACCTCCTGTCGGACTCCGATACTGCATCTGCTGTTGCTGCTGTTGCTGCATCTGTTGCTGGGGGTGCATGTACTGTATGTGTTGTTGCATTTGCACCTGTTGCTGATGTTGCTGCTGTTGCTGCTGCTGCTGCTGTTGTTGTTGCTGCTGTTGTTGCTGTTGTTGATGTGGGTGTTGCTGAAGCAGAAGCAGCTGCTGCCCAGGATGTTGCTGACCCGGTGACGTTATAGTCGAGTAATTACCCTGGGGACTGCTATATGCTGAGCTGAAATCAAACGAAAAATCTAATCATCCATTTTCAGTTTATTATCAGAACAAAGATTTTGGTTAATTCATTCGGGTTGCATTCAAGGACGACAACCGCTGATTTATGGTTTAGGCCCTTTCGTGACCTTAATTGATATTCAATATTCTAGGAAGAGAGCTCTGGATGGGGCTAACGAAGTATTTCTCTCAGGTCAGCATTCCGAGAAGAAACTCGACTCGTGTTCGGGAGCCAGGATCATTGTTTTGTTGAGAGTGGAGAAAGAGAGAGAGAAACACAAAATAAAAGATGTCCCACCTCGAGTGCAAAGGGTACCGAAATATCGAGGCGAACCCTCTTCTTACTGCCTTGTTAAAACTCTAAATGGCGCACCCTTTTGAGCTTATAATTCGGTGCGCGGTTTTCGAGAGATTCGGAAATACTTCGGGACAGGTTGCGGTTCAGAGAAAGACGATGGTTGGCGACTGCGAGAGGGTTGCCAGTATCTAGTGGCTGAATGCTATTTTAACACAAATTGGATAACTTTTGAGATATGGCCGGCGCTGCGTCAGCGGAGGACGATTTACGGCCTACTCTACATCAGTCTCATCCCCTCGAACTTCTCTACACCCTCGTATTACTCCTTTTTTTTCATTTTCCACCTTTTATATCTTTTACATTTCCTTCGCCTACCATATACCTTCGCTAACATTACTAAAGCCATTACCGAAACCATTACCATTACCATTACCATTTTCATCCACGCCTTCCTCTGCTTCCATTGTTTCGCTCAAAAATAAAGATCTCGTGATATAAGTATTTTATATTTTTTTTCAAGTATGCGCCTAGTGCATCTAGAGCAGTATAAGTCGAGTTCGTAGACTGTATAATTATAATAAATAATAATAAAATATTAGAAAATAAATAAGTAAATAACTGACTTCTGGATTAGCGCAATTTTTTTGCGGAGTTTGTCCAATTTTCTATACGTTTAAGTGCTTTGCAATTTATGTGAATAAGTAATCAAAGTCTAGTCCTATAATTGCGTGACGTTATGACTTGTCCTTAATCAATTTTAGTTTGGTTACTAATTTGTTATGTAGAAATTTTCGATATTGAATTACACAAGAAATTTGATCAAACAATTACCTACATGTAATTAAATGTAAATAACTTTCGAAGGTTCAACGAATCGCAGAATTAGTAATAGGAGTGGAGTAGAATGAGGAATTTTCTTATAAATATCGAGTGGAAAAAAAAAATTAGATTCTTTGCACCGACATGTGATGGTCGCGTCGGCGGCCACTGACACCAGTCACGCGAGGAGTAAACACAGCAGGTACGTATGTGTCCATTTAACTTGCACCTGCAGATCCAAAGCGTGTATTCTCATATTTACACGCAAGAGTTAGGACAAAAAAACTATGCGTGATTGCATAAGCGAACAAGAAACGTGTCCTAAAATAAAACGGCATTAAGTCATCGGAACCGGAGAAAAATAATATCGGGCGAGTCTGTGCTGTATTATTAGCATAGTACAAATCGACTAAGTATTTATGCATACTCTCTATTTATATTTTGTTATTCTCACATTTACACTCGTAGGATTGTGGAGTTAATGAATTTTCCATATAAGATCGTTGTCATCGCGTGGAATTGTAGAAAAGTAGGTAACCTAAATTGAAATTTACGGATCGGGTATTCGGACATAAAATTTAATATGCTGTGTACGAGTCTCAAAATACACGAATCAAGGTTATTCATATAGAAACATCGTGTGGTTCGTTTCTATTATTGATACAGCAGTTCCATCGATGTGTGCGCATCCGCTTCGAGTGTTTCCTACGTGCCTTCTGCGTGACGGAGTATCTAATTCTTATATCATGAAATCAGATACTTACAGTCTTTTTTTCGTGACATATAATTATTACATGGCAAACGGTAGGATATTTTTGAATTTTTTTTTGTTATCTTAATATTTCGAGATATGGAGCAAATGCTCACTGGGTAAGTAAAGTCGACGAGATGTCGAAATTTTCGTGGGTACATACAGAGATTTTAAATTTTCGTTGAGAATTTTAAGATTCCATGGTTTACAAAATTATGAAAAGACGTAATTGATGTTCTTGATACTGGCAGCGAATTTTGGAATGTACTCTATACCTAGTCGTCGTATCACAATGATTTCCACGAATCTCTTTACGATTCACAATTAAAATTTCGGGAATATGGATTTAATGTGGATAGACCACTATAATTATTTTCTCGATAATTCGAAACGAATCATTAAGGATCCTTAAGTTGCTGCTGCTTGTTCAATTAAGGTTAGATTAGGTTGTAAATGTTTCAAGGATCGACAGTAATTGCCGGTTTAAAAAAGTCAATAATTCTGACCGAATTCTACCGATAGAAATGCGCACCTGACATTGATGGGCTGCATGGGATGCTCCTGTTGCATGTAAAGTGGCTGTTGGTATCCGCCAGGATCAAGACTCAGCCCGTCTGGAGATTGCTGCATGCCATTTCCTTGCATCATCTGGAACAAAAGAGATCCGTGAATTGAGTAAAAAATCCGAGGTGCGCCGTCTCGACGCAGCAACAACTCCTGCAGATCGACATTCGGAGAATCGTAACAGACAACATCTGCCTCCGCGGTACATTCCACAATATTTGACTTGGGAATACGTCCTTGTCGGGTTTCACGGCGCATTAAAATGGTACACGTCAGGATGATGTATTAACTATTTAACAACTTCCGCGTTCGGGCATTATTCATGCGCGGTTATTTTTAGAGGCCAGATCACCGTACGTACCGCTCCTTGCGCGCCCTCACCCATCACGTTCTTTCCCTACTCGGAAGGAAGTGCCTCCGCCACTGTTTTTATTCCCACTTCCGTCAAATCCGTCTAACATCATTAACTGAGCTTGCTATCGTTCTCTCATCATCGCCGTCATTAAAATTCTCCTCATGTAATTACATCCCAAGTAAAAATGTCGATTATGCGACCCGGGATGGAATTCCTCTTTTCTTTTACATTTGCGGGCGCGCGCGCGCGCGCGCGCAGGTCACTTCGTAAGGATAAAGGTATTCGATGATCGAAGTAAGACAGTTAGTTCACCTGCGATTGATACGTGTGCATCTGATCGTGCTGTTGATGATGTTGCTGCTGATGTTGTTGGTGCTGCTGATGTGGATGAGGATGAATGGCCGGGATGTCGAAATCCTCGTCTCCAAAACTGGGCGTGTGGAATGTCTGCAACAGAAAGGTCATAGTTCTCCATTAGACACAGGTCCACTCGCGGCAGCAGTCTGCTGCATATTGTAACCTAGCCTAACGATCGACAACGGAATTTCCGGTATCCATGGAATTTCCAAAGCTTATTGCGATTTCGAACATATAATATATACTCTGTGCTCTATAGTTAGGTACAAACTCGTAAGTAGAATAGCAACCTACTATAGATATGCCATATGAATACAAGGATATGGGTATACAAGTAGGAGATAGCAGATAGACGGACGTGAGAGGAACGTCAAGAATGAATGCGAAGAGTTGGCGAGAGGGTGAGATGGGAAGAGAAAGGAGAAAAAAGAAAGTCGAATCAAAGAATTCACCCTCGACCCACGTAGATGATAGATAGCATTATATTGTTCAAAATCCTTTTAGCAATTTATTCCCTCTTTCACGGGGGAGCAAAAGAAAATAAATTTACTGCTGGATAGCGAGGGAGCTGAAGAGTGGTGTGGAGGGAAGGAAGGACAAGGGGGCGCTGAGGATGTAGAGGAGGAGGAGGAGGAGGAGGAGGAGGAGGGTAGACCGAGGAATGGTGGGAGAAAAGAGAGGGGGGGAGGGGTAAAAGTTTTTAAATTGGATTTAATAGCGTCAGGAATTTTCCTTTGAAGGCCCCCGAGTACCTATTGATCGAGTTCTCCTCTTTTCTCCGTCCCTCTCTCCACGCCCGGCCTCCCCCCCCTTCTTTCCTCGCCATGTTCCTCGTGCTCCACGCATTGCTCACATTCTCCTATAATTTTTCTACCAATTTATTTCATGGAATGTTTCGAAATTCCGCGGAGCTAATTAATAACGGACGCAATAATGGCGGCTATATATTTTACGGTGCGATCTGTAGATATTCCTTATACTTTGTGCAATGCTGCTAAATTAGAATTAGCATGATGAAAAAAATTGAATTATTTTCACTAAGTATAAGTCGCGTGTAATGTCACGTGAAATAATGACACGAAACGATTTTTCGTCGCGATTAATTTTACATCGTCGCTGTAGCAGTGCGACTGATGGGCAACTAGCGTGTGTTTGATGACGAGACAATGTAACTGTTATTAAAGATTTCTAAAGTGAAAGAGTGAAAAGGCGAAGAAACATGAAGATCGGTCAACGATCATCGTAGAAACATTTATCGCTAGTTGACTCATCAGCAAGACTCGTCATCCTCGTGTACACAGAACTTCAAGTATTGCTGGCATTAGAGGAAAGGAGGCCGTGACTCGTTGGTTTCAACATCGACGAAACACGGTGGGAACACGTCGTATCGTAGTGCAGCGCCTCAGGAAACACAATCAGGAATTCCTCGAGCAGGTGATAGAAGAAAACGGAATATATTACACGTGCCTAGCGCCGGTATGTGCGAGCTCAAGAGATATGGTAATAGAAGGTATTACAGGAAAGAGACTGACTGTGTACAGGAGAAATGGGCGGGAAGTGGGGGAAAAAAAATAACATCAGGGAACTTCTTTATTACTAAAATGTTATACCCGGAAAATTTGTATATATTTCAAAAGCCTTTAAAAAAAAAATTTACCGAGTCAGAATATCAGAGCTATCTTCTAATTGCTATTAGAGAAGTAGTTCGCTCGTTACATTAATTGGAATAAAAACAATTTTTATTAAACAGAAATAATTAGAATATCGTGTACGTTGTAAGAAATACAATGACAGTGGTATGAAAAACAATAAAAAAATCATGTCAAAGAGTGAGATGAAAGTATCGAAGAAGACCCTAGGATAATGAATGTCAATTTGATTCGCATGACGTTTAAGCTGTTACGCCTCCGCGCACTTCCTTCAATACGAAATGACTTCTCAGGTGGTTCTCGCTTTGACCGAGAGGGTGCGCGCTGACCATTTGCGAAATTGATACGGAGAATGGACAAGCCGCTCCGGGGCTGCCGATAGCTAATGTATATTTGCATAAATCTCGAGTTTCAGCAGTTAATGTTTTTGGACTGTTTATGAACTTCGAGCATCGCAGGTAGTAAGGAAAACTGATTGAATCAATTAAGCCGGTCGCTGGTGCGTGCTGGGTGCACCTTTCCTTGTGTATTGTCCGTACGCATAATAATATTTACATACTAACCGTCATGCTTGCTCGCCGCGACTAATGTAATAGGAAACGAAATAAATGATGGACGTGACACCGTTAGAAATCATTAAAAACCTAACTCTCATTTTTATTCGGATTTTCATTTCAATTATTTCGCTTTTCCAGAGCAGCTCCTTCACTTCGATTTAACGATTACGAATAGGTACTGCGGTAAAATTGAAAAAGTATTTGATAATTGAATTTCTACGGAAAGCTTTTGAACTAGTTATTGAAGTTGTTTAAACGATTCAATATGTACGACGTGCGGCATCAATTGTTCTGTCGATAACAGAGATAGCGTATTCTTGCTATTGCACGCTACGTACATGCATATGCACAAGCCGAGTGCCATATGTGTACGTTCCTCCTCTTTCTCTCACGTGCATAGCCGAGTAAAAAATTCGAAAATATCAGGGATGTCTCAGAACAGTCTCAGGTACAAATGCCGCGTAGGAAAAGAAAATTGGAAAAAGGTCTCGAGCAGGTACTATTAATCAGCTCAATTGACTATTAGTCAGGTCTTTGCATTAATTCTCACGTCCCTGAAGTCTCATTACGATCCTGATCAAATCGTGCTATCGTGGACTGTCCAATACTTTTCAAAGATTTTAAATCTTTCTGCAAAAATGTCCCTTACGAAAGTATGAGATCGTCCGCATGGAGCAACTTGAGCAAGGGATTGTAACAAGATTTCCGCGAGACAAGAATATCAATACAAAGACTTATTAATAAACAATTGAGTTCAGTATTTGATTGGACCTTTTCCCATTCTGTTTTTTTTCTTTTTTTCTTTTTTCTTTTAGTACGCTAGAAATTTACGCGACTGTTCCGAGATATCTCTGACATTTAAATATCTTGACTAGGGTCGTTACGAGAGTAATAAGAAAATCTGACGCATCAGTAAAAACCTAGCGCCATAAGACTATAGAGACAAGACGTTATAATGCTACAAGGGAAGTGCAGAATGGCAACAGAAGTACTTGCAGTTATTGGCTACGATCAGGCAGTTTCAGGGAGGATAGTTTCCCGGTATAGTCGCTTTGCTTGTACCGTTGCAAAGGGTTGCAGTGTTGCACACAAGTGAAATCTCATGCGGTGCGTGAGTAAGATAACGTTAACGATGACAGGTCGCTATAGCCGCTAAGAGGATTGCAGACGTAACCGTATTTTCACTTTACGCGACGGAAAGTGGAGGTCACAACCTCTCTTAGTGTTTCTCGTCTACTGGCAACTCCCTTCCTTATCTCCGGAGCGAACAAGCTAATCCGAGGTTACGCCAAGACAAGTGGGGCATCTCATTTGTCGTATTTGCGATTCGATGTTACGTAACATTTAATTTTTAATGTATTAATTTCTGGCCTTGTGCCCTGCTACGCTCGACTTTATCACAGGACTGTACGAACTGAACAACCCAACCTAACTTTTTATGTTACGACCTTGTAGAGACATATAGAGATGGTAGGGATCTAGATGAATGCATATAGAGAGCATAGGTATAGCTAACCTGCTCGTACTGAGCGAGAAGGTGGTTGAAAATGCGCCATCTTTCTTTCGGTGGAAACTAAAGTTATTTCTCCATCTCGTTAAAAGTTCTGTTGGAAAAGTTACTTTCCGAGGAAATATTATTTGGATGGTTACCGGATTATTCCGCCGCCGTTCCCGGACTTCTGCGGCCGCTCGGTTTATCGGCATTCCCTTCTTCCATTCTCCTTCTTTGTCGCTCACGTTTCTGTTTTACACCATCGCTCTTCCTTCTACCTCTCGCTACGAGTTTTGTTTTAAATTCAACTTCGATTTCGCTCTTGCGTACATTTCATAATCCAGTTTGAATCGTGAAAATTGCTGGAGGTAAATACGACCGCGCACCCCACTGGGTGGTGCCCGTAGCGATCGATGCGGAGTCTCTTGTAAAAGGATTGCAAGACCGAGAGCTGAGCGAATGACTAGAAACTTGTACGTAAAGTTTAATAGCACGGATATCGATGAACTTCGCTAAATTAACAACAGAAGAGGGCAGGGGGGGGGGCCTGTAGGAGAAGTTGAGACGATGGCGTAAAGCAAAGTTAATTATATTTAGTTAACATAAACAATGACTTGCAGAATTATTAATTGGTTTCACAAGTTGTGGTATTAGCATTTTATCGTCTTTTTGCTAATTCGGAAAATTTATTACACAACAAAAAACGGGAACACCACATATTGCGATGACACGATTAAAAATATGAGCACTAGGAAACAGTATAATCATACGATGAAAATGGCAATCGGTCTCCCACTAATTAGTGATTGCAGTAAAATGATGTAGGCTCATCGATTATCAACATTATAAATCTGCATGTGAAAGCAAGCCGTTAATGTTCCAGCGGTAGCGTCCGGCGTGACAGACGCGATAGGAATACATGTCTTAGAGAAAGAAAACAGTGCACCACTGGAAGGTTAATTTTTAAAGCATTCTTTATTTATACGTGACAGATCTCCGCCTGGTCATAGAGTCTACTGGAAGGTTAAGGAGGACAGCAGTTCGCTGGCAACGGGTCTGCGGCACGTGCCGGCCCGACCACGCTAAAATTATAGGTATCATCGCAAAGAGACTGCTTGATGACGATTTCTCAGTCTTCATTACCGTTAATATGTAAAAACTCTTTTCAAGCCGTTCCTACGTATGTATCTATATAATTAGGGTACGTTATTGAGTCTAGCGATGTCGATAAACTCAAGGTCGAACGGAGGATCGATACATCGAGTATCCATGTCTACGTCTACCATATAATTAGCGTAGGAGAATGCAATCAAGAGTTCTAATGATCGATCGAGTAATAACAAAATATAGAGTAAACAGAATTAAATTACATACAAAAGGTACTAATAAAAT